GGTGCAACCTATACAGTGAATCATTTATATAATGCATTTAGGGTCAAGTTAAAATGTGTAAAGTGACAAGCGAATATCTAAATAGAATGTTTGAGTGTTGCTTTATTGAAATCATTTCTAAATATATAATTAAATGGCATTTGATTTAACTAATCAAACAACTTGCTAAACTCTCGAATGGATGTGTAACATGACAGCTCTATTTATCTTAATGAGATGAGTTATTCTTATTTTATGATTTTTTTTTTTTTTTACAGAAGAAATCGCTGTAATGCTGTTTTGTATTTTAACATTGTTAGTGGTAAAGGGTATTTGTTGGGTCAAGCATGGGAAGATAACCGGTTTCAAGGTTTATCTTTTTTTTTTTTTTTTTTTATGAAAATTTTATGTAGTTTTTTAGAGCAAGAGCTCAGAAGAAAAAGACCCTCCACACCAAAGCTACTGGTCAGTCAAGGATTCAGCAAACATTTAAATACAAATTGCTTATGCACCAAAATCCCAGCATGAACCTGAACAGTGCAGAACAGTAAACTTTGGATATTACTTTATATCCAAGAATGCCTTTTCAAGTTGTAAAAAAAATCTGTGTTTGTATAGCTAATGAGGAATGATTTGTTTGAATTATTTACCCTGACATGTTTACTGTTCCAAAATATTGTACATTTATATTTATTCCGTAAAAATTTTTACTTTGAAATTTTTATTGTTTTATGGGAAACATTTAGTTTTTTTTTTACCCAAACAATAAAAAAAGACATATTTTAGAGCAGAATACTGTGAAAGCAGGATATTTTTATTCAATGTTATCATACTATCAGAATCTTATACCGCCCAATGTCTAGTCAAAACATGGAATAATAAGCTGATATGAGTATAATTTAAAAGTGTTGGTGCATTTAAAACGTTCAATGCACTGCTCTTAAAGCTGTAAAATTGCAGAGAAAAGCACAAGCACTGAGAAATTGCTTCTTGCGATGGATTTTCATTTCAAAATGGGTGTTTTCTCAGCAGTGAGGAGTGAAGGTCAACTAGCAATGTATAGAGAATATTCATGCATATCTCCCTGTTGCATCAGACTCTCTAGATTCACTTGAGTCTCTACACAGAAATTTAGCTGATATCAAACTTTGGCGCTCTCAGAAGTTTTTCTGTCTGCATGTAAACAAAACCGAGTGCATTGTGTTTAGCAATGAAAACCTGTCTAATGACTTACCACTAATCATCTTACTCAGTCCCCACAATATAATCATGTATAGTTGAAAATGTGGGTGTCACTTTAAACAGTACTTTAAACTTTGATAAAGAAAATAATTCAGCTATCAAGGAAAGCTTTTTCCAGCTTTGCATTTATACCAAAGTTATATTCTTTCTGAGCAAGAGCGATCTCGAGAAAGCCATCCATCCCTTTGTTAGCTCTGGTCTAGACTACTGCAATGCAGTGCAATGTAAAAACATCAATTTACACAATAAGCTGTTACAAATTATTAATTTCAGTGTAGGTACATATTAGTTAAGGCCACCTAGTACAAAATGGGATCAGTTTTTGTCTGTTACAACTGTATTTATGTACAGATGTAAGTAATGCACAGTTATATAGCACATTTACTGTGTATGGCCATGCTCTCAAAGTGCTTTACATTGGTGCGAAAAGGTCTCTCTTTACCTCCACCAATGTACAACATTCACCTGGATGATGCGACGGCAGCCACAGGACAACAGTGCCTGTGGGATCACCCCACACCAGCTGCAGGTGGAGAGGAGAGATGGTCATAGCCATGATGGGTAAGGGTCGAAGGAGGGAATTCGGCCAGGATACTGGAGTTACACCCCTGCTTTTTCCAAGAAGTGTCATGGTACTTTTAATGACCACAGACCACAGAGTCAGGACCCGTGAGATTCGAAATGTACTCAAACATAACAGGTGCCTATGATCTTCAGACCAATTGTTGCTGGAGGTCCCACGATCCAGATAATATAAGCAATAGAGGGACTGTTTTTTTGCAGGTGGTCCAAGACTGGAATCCTCTCTCCACCGAAATGTGCACTATTATCAATGTAGCACTGTTTAGAGTAAACTTGCTAGATTTAGATTAGCAAGCAACATTGATACATATACAATGAATGTAAATAAATGATTCAAAAACATTCATTCTTTTTACATTTAAAACTGAGCACAGTTTAAAAGACAAAATGTGCAGGTAGGTAAGCTGTTTGGTGATAAGCAGACAAAATGCAAGACCTAAAATAAAACTGCTGACAATCATCCACCACTTAAGATTTAAATAGCTGGCACAGCATAAAATAGTCATCCATCTCCTAACAACACAGAAAATGTATCCCCATTACAAAAACACAGTGGCTCAACACACTTAAGATAAATGTTATTCACTTGAAGGTACATGAAAAGCACCTCATTCAAGCCAAGATTTCTAGAACCATTCTCTTCACTAATAGAGTTACAGTTTGTTAAACAAAGAAAGAAAGAGTTTTCCATAAAATAAAGCGTGTGAATTATCTGGCGCAGAGGCCTAAAAACTTTAAAATAACTTTAACTTACCATTTGATCACTCGTACTTGAAAGAAATCGGTTGAAAGGAATAATTACGATCTGGTATAGGTCTTCATTTGATTGAGGTAAAGTTGTTTTTATATTTACACATTAGGACTTTTTCTCCTAATAATGTAATTTAAGGAAAGTATTCTCTGCAAATTGTGAATAGTGAAATCATATTAGCAGAAAATAGCTATCAAAGTACTGCGTTATTTCAGCCTACAGTCAAATCAGTGGTAAAAACGTTGTTTTCAAGTCATACTTGCATATGTTTTCAGATCAAATATTTAATGTATCATGGTAAACAATATAGGGAGCATGTCACAAGCTGTCACTGAAGGAATGTGCAAATAAACCAACTATACCTCAATCTTCATTTGCTGACTAACTACTTTTTTTAGTAGTCTGAATCTCTTTTTACAAATGCAAACACAAATGTACTTTAGCTGAATGAAAACTTAAAAGTGTATTTGAAGTTGTTGAGTTTGAGTTGTTGATTAAAATATGTTTAAAAAAATAATAATAATATAATAATAATAATCTTAGTTAATACCATCAACCAAAATAAAAGTTTGTTTCAGTATATGTTATATAGCTATGTACATGCAATACACAAACATACAGTGCATCCAAAAAGTATTCATAGCGCTTCACATTTTCCACTTTTTTTTATTTATGTTACAGCCTTATTTCAAAATGGATTAAAATATTTGATTTCCTCAAAATTCTACACACAATATCCCATAATGACAGGTGAATTTTTTTTTAATTGTTGCAAGTTTACTAAAAATAGAAAACCTGAACAATCACATGTACATACTGTAAGTATTCACAGCCTTTGCCATGAAACTCTAAAATGAGCTCAGCTACATTCTTTTTCCACTGATCATTCTTGAGATGTTTCAGTAGCTTAATTAGAGTTCACTTGTGGTAAATTCAGCTTATTGGACATGATTTTAAAAAGGCATATACCTGTCTATAAGGTCCCAGGGTTGACAGTGCATGTCAAAGCACAAAGCAAGCATGTAGACAAAGGAATTGTCTGCAGACCTCAAATACAGGATTGTCTTGAGGCACAAGGCTGGGAAAGGTTACAGAATAATTTTTGCTGCTCTGAAAGATCTAATAAGCATAGTGGCCTCCATCATCCATGGAAGATGTTTGGAACCACCAGAATTCTTCCTATAGGGCTGGCCAGCAATCTAAGCTGAGTGATTGGGGGAGATGGAATTAGTCAGGGAGGTGATTAATAACCTGATGGTCTCTCTGTCTGAGCTCCAGCGTTCTTCTGCGGAGAGAGGAGAACCTTATCTGATGAGAATAAAATTGAACTCTTTGGAGTGAATGTCAGGTCTTACGTTTGGAGAACACCAGGCACCGCTCATCCCCAGGCTAATACCATCCCTACAGTGAAGCATGGTGGTGGCAGCATCATGCATTGGGGATGTCTTTTATTAGCAGGAACTGGAAGACTAGTCAGGATAGAGGGAAAGATGAATGCAGCAATGTACAGAGACATCCAGAATGAAAACCTGCTTCAGAGTGCTCCTGACCACAGGATTTTTCAGTTTTTTTATTTTTAGTAAATTTGCAACAATTTCAAAAAATCTTTTTTTACGTTGCCATTATGGGGTATTGTGTGTAGAATTTTGAGGAAATCAATTAATTTAATCCATTTTAGAATAAGGCTGCAACATAAAAAATGTGGAAAAAGTGAAGCACTATACGAACAATTTCTGGATGCACTGTACATAGAAAAAAAACTATACAAAACAATATTGTTACTAAGATATTTAAATTTCTATATATAATTTTTGTCTGCATAGTTTAAATCTAATTGAACAAAATAATAAATAAGCACTTCTCAAATATATGCATGCATGTGTTTGTGTGTGTGTGTATATATATGTGTGTGTGTATATATATATATATATATATATATATATATATATATATATATATATATATATATATATATATATATATATATACATACATACATACATACAGTACACACACCTATTATTTCTCGGGACAAATGATGGTCATAAAAGTCATAATAAGAGTTTATTAAAATTCTTGCATTGTATTTATTTACGTTATTTAAAACATTATTATGCAATATTATAATATTCTTCCTAAGCAACCAGGTTTACCTCAAAGATAAAAAAAATGTTTTAATAGCTTTTCTAAAAGACTTTAATTGATTGAGATAAAATAGCCTATTTTATTTAGATTTTTTTAACAAATAAAACATATTCATCAAATTTACATTTCATATAGGCTATATTGTATTTTGTCCTGGGATTTCGTAACGACATGTTCTGAGTTAATGAATACAACCCGTTGGTCGTCCTCTGCAGCTTCTTCATTATCAGCCGTGTCTCAAATCCACTGTGCAGCAGCATTTTCGGCCACCGTATGCACGTTTCTGCGCCAGCTGCTCCTAAAATGCCGTAGGTAAGCAGCTCGCTAGGTTTTGAGACTCGGCCATTTTCTGTTTTCAAACAGGACTGAGCTCAGAATAGCTCATTGAATTGTAGGCATGACCGAGGCCGATATTGCGGTAAAGTCCAGCCCGCGCGACTATAAAAAACTGACGCGGCTGTACTGTATGAATGGAGGATTTCACCTTCAGATCCTGGCGGACGGGACAGTGGCTGGAGCAGCAGACGAAAACACATACAGTGAGTTATTATTCTGCATGTGTGCTATCAGTCTTTAAAACGTTGATTCACATATGAGAACCTGTTTCTGAATTTGCCATTGAACAGAGTAATACACATTAGCAAACATATTCTTTCATCTTTAAGACAGAACATTTGGACCTACAGCTTTGCAGTAAAGAGTTTTGTGCAAAAAGTGTAAACAATGTGATGAATATGAACAGTTTCTGTAGCTTATTTAATGTGTAAATCCATCTGTCTATATGAAGAGAAATGAATCTGTTTTGAAGTTTTTTAATAACCCTGTAAAGCCTAACTATTTATGGTTAACATCAGGGTATCTGCAGGGTCTTAAATAGTCTTAAAAAAACATTTTAGGCCTTAAAAAGTCTTAAATCCACTAAAAAATGGTGTTGTAGGTCTTAAATAATTTTAAATGGGTCTTAAATTTCCTATGCCCATGTAAAGCTATACCCAAGTGGGCCAACACCCTTCTAATCTCTTATAATATATTTCAATTAAAGTTTTTGGAAATTTTTATTTATTAACTCTATTTACCTATGAATGTGGTTTAATTATCTTCCTTAAAATAGAATTTGTTTTTAATGTTTTTTAAGGTTTTAATCTTTAAGGTTTAGCCTTGTGTAACTCATTTTATTCATTGTGGTCTTAAAACGTCTTAAATGTGACTTGTAAACCCTTTAACATGTTGTAACCCTGAAGATAAGAGAGCACCTACAAATATCCAGTTTCTCAGGATTTATTAGGCATGTAATGTGACAAAATAATATTTGTTTTATTCCACAAAGTCCTGACAACAATCATTTCGAATAAAAAAAAGTTTTTTTTTGTTTATAATTTTTCAATAAAACTTAGTTTTTGTTTATTAAAAATGACAATATTTGTATTTGTTGTGATTGATACAGATTTCCTAATTATTCTAAAGTTAAATTATTGGTACTGTTCTAAAAATAAATATGAACTGCTGCACAATACTGGGACGATATCTGAAATGTGATGTTACTGATTTAACAATGTTTCTTGATATATAAAATTTTCCCACACATTTTTTTTTATTTATTTACGTAATGATCATAAAAATAAACAGGCAATATATATTTTATCATATAATTAAATTTAATTCAGGCTTTAAAACTATGTCAAGATTCAAACATAAAATACAAATGAATGACTGAAAATCTTGGCATATGATTATTTGTGCTGTCATTTTCCTCGCTTGTCTCTACTGCTAGAGCGTAGATTTGCTCTTGAATTGGTGGGGACTTACATCGCTAGAGCACATGTATTGAACAGCACAAATTCTGTTTTGTGCTTTAAAAAACATGAGCAAAGGTTATAAACATGTATACAAATAACATAATGAAGCACGTCCTATGCTGCAAAAGTCAATTTACATGATATTACTGCAATCTGGTTTTAAAGATGAATGTACAAATTCAGAGAGGCATGTGACACAATTTAACTGTTTTATCTATATTAGCTATTATATATATATATATATATATATATATATATATATGGATTTATCTCTTTGAGCACATCAGGGTTGACGGAGCATTATTATATTTTGAAGGTGCTTAAATTATTGGTGGGGACATATGAGTAATTGGTGGATATTGATGGTGACGTCTCCTCTGTTCATGCTAATTCTACAGCTAGAGCTTTTCAGCTCTCTGCTCTGAGAAAACAGGTTCAGCTTTGGGCCGGCCAATAGCATAACAGCACCTACTGTGAAGGCGGGTATAAAGAAAGTAAGGCCCCCTCTGGTCAAATTTGGATAAACATCTATGCAGACACACACAAACACATAAAAATAAACTAAATGTATCGCTTCTCTCTGTTATATATGGATATTGCATATAATATTGCGATAACGTTAATTTTACAATATGCACAGTAAACATGTTATATGTAAATATTTTAAATTTGTAAAAAAAATGTGTCAAAAAAGTATAAGAAATGTCAGAAATCTATACAGAATAAAACTAAAACGACATTTTACTCAACATAATCCACTAAAACCACAAATAAAAAACTAAAAGTTTTCTAATTGATACAAATAAAAATTATATTTGAATGATTAATCAGAGTTACTGAAATTTTGAAATGTAACATTAACCCTCCTGTCGTGTTCACTTCCTGCCCCTTACTTTATTGTTCCCATTCAAAACTGACCAGACCCTTTTTAACCTGCTCTTAAATTAGCACAAAAAACATTTTTCAAAACCAAATATTTATTCAACATTCTTTTAGTTGTGAACAATGTGGAGAAAGTCTTATTTGTTTTATTTCGGCTAGAATAAAAGCAATTTTGAATTTTTTTAAAAACATTTTAAGGACAATACTATTAGCCCCTTCAAGTTATTTGTTTTCGATAGTCTACAAAACAAACCACCGTTATACAATAACTTGCCTAATTACCCTAACCTGCCTAGTTAACCTAATTAACCTAGTTAAGCCTTTAAATGTCACTTTAAGCTGAATAGAACTGTCTTGAAAATATCTATTGAAATATTATTTACTGTCATCATGGCAAAGATATAATAAATAAGTTATTAGAAATGAGTTATTAAAACTATTATGTTTAGAAATGTGTTGAAAAAAATCTCTACGTTTAACAGAAATTTGGGGAAAACAATAATAAACAGGGGGGCTAATAATTCTTACTTCAACAGTATAAAACATAATCCAAAATCAAAAATGGAGATAGCTTGTCATCAGAGTAACAAACATTTGTCCTTGATGCTCTGTATCATGAGAGTATGGTATGTGGGACACTGTTCTGGAATCTGAGATTGATCTGTATCATTTTCAGAAAACCTCCCCTGTGTTTACAGCAGTCCTTCTGCATATGTGTGTGTGTGTGTGTGTGTGTGTGTATACAAAGGCATACTGCGCATAAAAGCAACAAGTCCAGGAGTGGTGGTGATCGAAGGATCAGAAACAGGTCTTTACCTCTCGATGAATGAACATGGCAAGCTGTACGCTTCAGTAAGTCTAAACAAACATTTCACAAACAGATACATCGCTATTGGAACATCAGTTATAAGATCCTATCTGTCTTTGCAGTCATTAGTGACGGATGAAAGTTATTTCCTGGAGAAGATGGAGGAAAACCACTACAACACATATCAGTCTCAAAAGCACGGTGAAAACTGGTATGTCGGAATAAAAAAGAATGGGAAAATGAAACGGGGCCCAAGAACTCACATCGGACAAAAGGCCATTTTCTTTCTTCCACGACAGGTGGAGCAGGAAGAGGACTGAGGCATGAAACCTGTAGCCAGTTGCATAAACTATAGCATTACAATTAGGCATGGGACGATAACCGTTTTCAAGGTATACCACAGTTTGGGAAATTCATTTTTTTTTTTTTTTTTTTTTGGACAACAGTATCTTCAGCAGAAAAGATCTCCAAAGATACCATTGTAAATTGTAAAGGAATGTGTGTTTTTAAAATGAACGAAGATAGCAAAAGACAATATGAGTTTTTAAGCCAGACATGTTTACTGTCCCAAAATATTTTAAATGTTTCTCAAAATTCTATATATTGCGTTCAAAATGGAAAAACTTTTTTTTTTTTCGTTTTTTAAGCGAGTTTTTTACCCAGACATTTAAAAAGAATATATTTAAGAGCAGTGATCACAACACAGAGAAACCGTGATAATTTTATCCAAGGTTATCATACTGTCAGCATCTTGTACCGGCCCATGCCTAATTACAATTGATCTCATTTTGTTTTTTAACACTTTGACTAACTGCTAGTATGACAAGCTGTTTAAACATTTAAAGGGGTCATATGACAATGCTAAAAAGTATATTAGCATTATTATATTATGTTGCTTACACTATTTAATGTTAAAAATCAAACATTATATTTTCATAGCGTTCAGTATTGTTGCTCATGTCTGGTCTGGCTTTCTGAAATGCCTTGCTTTTTACTAAGCTCATCATTCTGAAAAGCGCAGTGTGCTCTGATTGGCTAGCTAACCACTTTGCTGTGATTTGCCAAATACCTCAAGCATGTGTCAAAAATGTTATGCCCTAACTACCTTTTTAACTCCAGGCTGATTCTAATTCAGAAAATGCAGATGACCAAGCTGATCGATAACGTTACCAGTGTGACTTAAGCAGAACATAACAGATTGGGAAGGTTTAATTTTACGACTTACCTGTTTTGGGTTAGAGACTAGAGACTAATCTTTGAGGATCTATTCTATGCACAAACAGCTTTTAACACTCCAAAGATCACATTTCATATGACTCATTTAATCTATAAACTACTGTGTCTATTTTGGAGTTATTAACTATTTTTTAGATTTTAATATATATATTATTTATTAAGCAGGCCTAGGCTAGTTCTTATTCATTAGCTACTGGTGTTGTATTCAGACCATATAGTTACTAGTACTTATTTAAGATACTTGTCCCTTGTACTTTAAAAAAAAAAAAAACATCAAACATACAAGTTCATCAGAACTTATATTTGAAGGGTCATGAAACCCTCTTTCATTTCAAGTTTACCACAAAATAATATAAAAAAATAAATGGTAACAATGAAAGCTGCGAGCATAAGGAGTGTCAGTGTGCATGACGAGGCAAAGTGGAAATGAGTAATAGTCCATGCTGACTCAAATGTCTAAGGTAAAATGCAAGATTTTATAATTGAAGAGTGCTTATTTTAAAAATGAAGTCGCACACATACCTACGGTGAAGGTACAGAAAAATCCTCAGGCACTGGAGCGTTTGAAAGTCGAGTCTGTCAGCATTTGAATGTAGTGCCAATCTTCAGTGTCTGCGCAACCAATCATGAACACCTATTGTGGGGTCTCGAATAGTTCAGAAATAGTGTCTTCTCATAGGTCAAGACAACTCAGTCTTATAAATAATAATTAGACACTGGTGCATCCTTGATCCTACGCAGCCCTTGCAGTCCTACGTCACCACCAGTGATGACAAAATTAGGGGGGATTCTCAAAATTAGCCAGTTGTTCTCCACACTTAGATGCTAATGTTCTCTAAATTGACGTTCAACACATAAATCTGTTAAAATCTCAGAGGTTTCATGACACTTTAAAAGATACTATTTGTTCATTAGACACTGGTATTATATTATATAGAATATATATTATATATTCTTATTAGAAACTAGTACTCTTATCTCTTTAATATATACAACTGCACTTATTTAATTAGTGAGTTCTGTTGAAAATGTTTTGCCAGTGAGAGTTCAAATGTATTAGGTAAATGTTCATAGTAATCAGACACTAGTGCTTATTACATACATAGTTGAAAGTCAGAATTATTAGCTCCCATTTGAATTATTCTTTTTAAAATATTTCCTAAATGATGTTTATCAGAGCAAGGACATTTTCACAGTATGTCTGATAATATTGTTTCTTCTGGAAAAAGTCTTATTTGTTTTATTTTAAAAACCATTTTACGGTCAAAATCATTAGCCCCTTTAAGCTATATACAGTATATTTTTCCAATAGTCTACAGAACAAACCATCGTTATACAATAACTTGCCCAATTATCCTAAACTTTTCCCAATGAACCTTGTTAAGCCTTTAAATGTCACTTTAAGCTGTATAGAAATGTAAATAATAAATAAATAAATAGGCAGTGCAGACACAAGCCTGATAAAGTTGACACATAGGCCTATCAAACAGTACCACTCAGTGTAAATCAGGCATAAAAGAAAGCACATTCTCCTGAAGAAAAACAGCATGTTATAGAAAATACTGTGAAAAGTTTCTTGCTCTGTTAAACATCGATTAAAGATACTTCATAAAGAATATCAATTTCACAGAAGGGCTAATCATTTTACCTTCAAATGTATGCTAAATTGAGCTTAAAGAGGAGATCGCCTGGATGGATTAAAAAATGTTTAAAAAAACTTATTGGATTAAAAAAAACTCAATTGTTTAAGTCAAGGGGAGTTGTTATGCAGACGCATAGATTAACCACATGATCCAGAGTAGTCTAACTCTATTAACACAAACTAAATGTGATGGACAGCTAAATATACAGTATATACAGACTAACAAGCATACTAACTCCTGGATGTCAACATGTATTATGTGCTCACAGGATAAAAAGATAAAACTACTACAAGAGTAACCTATTTTTTTTTTAGTATGAATTTATTTTTTTAGTTCATGTCGTTTTGTTTGTTTGCATGGTTAATGTGCGTCTAATTGTACTTGTTTCTTTCATGAACAATGCAGAAATATCAGAATTATTGTGCAACATTATGAATCATTTGAAATATAATAAATCTTTAACCTACACGGAATCATAAAAATGTGTCAAATTATTTTCAACTTCGAGTCAATGAATGGTGTAGTTAGGCGAGGCAGTATATGTTGCACCAAACCAGCAGATTATGGGAGAGGTGATCAGATACTTTAATAATATATCTATACATTTGTCTTTTATAAGTAAAATCTTTAACTTTGGATCTAAAAATGAACATGACAGTAAGTGAAATACACAAGTTAATATGATTCATTCCTTTTCTTTTCAGCTTAGTCCCTTTATTAATCTGGGGTCGCCACAATGGAATGAACCACCAACGTATCCAGCATATGTTTTTTTTTTTTACACAACAGATTCCCTTCCAGCTGCAAGTGCACCCTATTACTGGGAAACATCTATACACACTCATACACTACGGCCAATTTAGCTAACCCAGTTCACCTGTACTACATGTATTTGGACTGTGGGGGAAACCGGAGCACCCGGAGGAAACCCACGCGATCATGGGGAGAACATGCAAACTCCACACAGAAATGCCAACTGACTAGTTATTTGTCTTGTTTGCAATGCTATTTGTGGGATGGCAAGGACTTTGGCACTGCTGGGGGATGGGGTGGGTGTTTTTTTTGGGGTGGGCTGGAAGGGTTGCGGAGTGGATCTTGTTTTGTTTATTGGAAAGAAAATTGTAAAGATGCCCCTCACATGTAAAATCAATAAAAACTTCACAATAAAAAGAAATGCTAACTGACCCAGCCAAGGCTCGAAACAGCAACCTTGCTGTTAGGCGATTGTGCTACCCACTGTGTAAGCATGCCTGTTAATCTGATTCACTTGGTTTAATTTATCAAAATGTTATAGGGTTTTTAGAAAAATTTATACTTCATTTATTAAATATGAAGAAACTATTTAATGAATATGATTTATCAAACGGGATCAAAGCTTATTTAAAAATATATATTTTCATCATATTTTGAACTGTCTATTCATTTAAAATTTTGGGAGATGTCAGAACCAATGGTGTTGTGGTTAGTGCATTGACACAATCACTCAGGTTCACAAGGCGAATCTAGTTCCATTTCCACCTCGAGATCCTATGCCGGTCATTCTCTCTGCTCCCCATGCTTTCCGGTCGATTCTTTCTACCGTCTTATTCATTAAAGGTGAAAACCCACCAAAAAAATATTATAAATAGGATGGAAAATGATCTGCTTCCATAATTTTGTTTTTAACATGGATAATATATTGAAAAAGGTGACTGTCCATAATTATAAACTCAGTTACAATTTACAACAAGATTACTCACTTTTTTGAAGTCAACTAGTTGCTTTAAAGGGCACCTGTGATGAAAATCATCCTTTGCAAGCAGTTTGAACGTTACACAAGATTTGCTTCCTTCATGTCTGTCACTGTGCTGTTTATCTGACGTAGCTAAAGTGAAGATTAAGGCTCACTCTGATAGGCACGTGGGAATGGTGAGCGGGGAGAACTAGCATTAAAGGCATAGGCAACAAAAACAGCTACATTAGCTGTGTCTCATTGTAGAGGCTGCATCCTACGAAAGATGCATTCGTAGTGCGCTGTGTCATCACGGCATGACAAAGGCTGCATCAATTTAAAAAAAATTCAAAGGCTCCTTTAAACGCAGCCTCAAAATGAGTTTTTCATTTCCCAGGTAATGAAGAAAACTACAGGTGGATCCTTTGTGGCCTTGAACGTCCCAAGATTTATTGTACGCCAATAACGGCAGGACGTTTTTAAAAGAAAACTATGCTTTAAATGTATTAAATAAGTTTATTTTACTTGGATATCTGAACACATGTAAAAAAAATAAATAAATAAATAACAAAGAGTAAGATGTGTCTTACTAAATAGGGATTTGTAGATAGTTTACAATTTTCTGTGTACAAGTATAGATCAAAGAAAATATATTTCCAGCTTCTGTACACCTTGCTTTGCCTTCAGACCTAAAATAAAGATTTAAAATTACTCTGGAAAAAAATCATTACAAATTTTAGCAACGCTTACAGCAGCTGTTACAGTTGGCTGGTGATGACATCCATCCTCTGTTGGCTAGATCATCTCATTTCAAAATGCTCGGTTCAGCCTGTGTGGACTACGAAGGTCTCACCTTTGAAGTCTGCATCCTTCGGAGGATGCAGCCTCTGAAATGAGACACAGCTATTATGCTCAGAGCAGAAACTTATAATGTTCTGAAAGGTATATTAAATAATCTGATAAGTGTTTTGATCTAAAACTTTACTGACACATTCTGGAGGCACAAAAGACTTATTTTAAATCTTGAAAAAGGGGTAAAATAGGTGCCGTTTAAAAGCAACAGATTTACCATTTTTGTTAGGTAAAACTAACTAATGCGTTTTTAACTGTGTACACAGAAACGGTTTATATTTAAAATGATATCACTTTATTTTGGAGTTCACAGGAAAGAATGATTTTTTTAAAAATACATTCACATTTTAAAAAATTATAATAATATTTAAAAATGACTATCGTGCTGTATTTTTGACGGCTATACCGCCTTCAAACAGAAGTAACTGCATTTTGCGAACAAGAAATTGCACCAAGAGAGCTGTGTTGTTGCCATAGATGTTACATTTATTAAAAGTTACTTGACAAGTGTAAAACATACAAATCACAAACAACACAACGTGAAGCACTATCTCATACTGAAGTCTTTGATAAAAAATAAAAAGATCAACGCTACATTTGGCATCATAATATATTCGATTCTTCACGCCAGATCATTGATTAAGCGCATTACATATTCTGGTGTGCTTGAATGCTCAATCGGTTTGCAGTATATATTGAACTGCTCTAAATCTAGCCTTGCTTATATTCAATGTGGTTATTTTGGTCCTTTCTGTGAAGCTAATTCCAAACAGGTTTACGTCATCTTCAATAAACTGTGCGCTAATATGATTTTGGCTTTTTAAGGACCCGCCAGTCGTTCGGTGCATCTTGTTGTTGTTGTTGTTAAAGGTGCATTCATGACATTTAATATCACTCTTTTTGTGTACTGTATATACATACTCTTTTTCTAATTGACAAAAGAAAGTTCAGTTACTAGATTTACTCACAAAGTAAAATTACAACTTTCCCACAAATTAAGAGAAACAAACCGTGACTGACAATTTGGATGAAAACAGATTCTCTGATGGCATCGCCGCTAATTGGAACTTAAATTGCGAACGCAAGTTCTTACTGCATAATGGATGCTGACTGTATGAATCGAGCACTGACAAAAGGGCTGGAGGAACTCCAATCCTTCAAAAACAAAATAATAAATAAAATGCAAAGGCGTCAGAAGCAGATGTTCTCTTCTTTGTCTTGAAGACTGAAAAAAGCTGTAGGCGGCTCTTGTTTTGTTCATTTTGCAATTATCCTGAGATCTGTAATCTATTCACAAAATAAAAAAAGGAAATACTTCATCCTCATTTAATCATGTCATTCTCAGAACAATTTAGATCACTGATGGATTGTCTTTTAATTAATTGAGCTCCTAATGCAATGGTGCGCACATAAAACCAACTAAATGTCTTGTGATTTACCTAATAGATAAAAAGAACTCTGGTGCGAGGAAGGGTGGACATGGAGTGGTCAGCCATGTTGCGAACTCTTGAGTAATTAACGAATCCCCGGAAGAACAGCAGGAATCCTGAGTGAATTCAAAAGGACACAATTTATATAATGGCATTTACACTTTATGATATAATTGCATATGTAAGGTTGGGTACCGAAAACCGCTGCAATTATGGCACCAGTACCAATGTAACCGATATGCAGCAGACCGAATCAGCAAATAAAATTTCCGTGAAACTGATGTTGCGACAAGGACGTAAGAAGCACCAAATGGTACATCAAAGGTTTGTCACACCATCTCTAAACATTTAATTCTAAACAACTTTGAGGGATATGGACACAGCTGTCGATGTTAGGGGTTTGTTCTTGTTGCTTATATAGCTAGAAGATACAAGGCAAAGCAAGTACTACAGCATCTGATGAGTGACTCCCTTCAGATTCATCAACACGCAAGATCGTGTTCATATTTGCTTAAACTAAGGGTTCTAAAGTATGGCTATATTTTACAAGCAAGGATTCTGACACAGAAACGTAAAGCAGATGCTTTACAAAAGTTAGGGAAAAACACGTCAAACTTAATGAAACAACTTAAAGGGAATGTCTTTGACAGCTTGCGACATCATCTGGCACTTTCAGTGACAACGTTTACATGGACACCAATACTCTGATTTTAATATGATTAAGACAATACGATGATTAAGAGTCTACAATGTAAACAGCGATTTTTGATTACCTTAAAGGACCACAGACACCCACGTCCCGAAATGCAGAGGTTTTTTCTTTCCATTCGGCATGCAGTTTAAATTCCATTAAAACAACTCTCTTCCACCAGTACTTACTTCATATTCTCATCCAAAACCTCAGTTTGTCAGGGGGACATGAATAAAATGTTCCTGAATGAAAGTGAAACTGCTGAACTGCAGTTAAAGTCAAAGAATAAAAATTTTAATTACATGAAAGTCCGGAGGAAATGTGGATAGTATGGTGACGCAATGACATTTATGGATCTATGTGCTATAACATGTTACACAGGATCATGAAAGGAACATTCAAAAAGTAACTGATATAAACACCTTAATCATAATATTGTATTATTCAGATTAAGGCAAATTTTTAGATTACTGATGTCCATGTAAACGTAGTCACAAGCCCATCCCTTGAAAAGAGTTCACTGATTTTGATGACAGCCTTTCCACAGGTTAGTAGTAAGCTAATGTAATGTTAATTGCATAATGCAAGTCTTGCATTCATGCAAACAAACAATCAAAAGAAATATCAATGCAATTCAAATATATAAAACATGAATTGATGTATACTTTAAACTTATTATAAACTAGGGTTGGGCATCTAAGCTATAATGCCGATCCGATACGCATCTCGATACAAAGAATACGATCCGATATATTAGCGATACATTTGTGACATATTGCGATGCAACACGATACGATTCACACCCATATCACGATACGATGCGATATTTCAGCACTAACTAATTAGATCAAGTTTATGAGATTATGTGAAAGAGGATGCTGTGCCATTGAATAAGTTTGATTATTTATTAACCAAGCAAAACCAAGACTTTTTTTACAAACTGGCTTTTCTCTCAGAGCCAGAGTGTCAGTTTACAGTAGAGGGCCATTTTAGAACCTATAGCACATCTTATTTAAGTATTTTCAAGATAAACAGAATGTATAAGTGCAATATATATTAAAATATATATATTTGCACTCTTTCAACATAAATAAATTTAGCATTGCACAACAAGAATTGTGATTTAACTTTTCAACTATGAAAACAAGTTTTACAAAGATACATTTTGCCACTGAATATTCAAAACTTAAGGTCGTGAACTAGCAGTGTTATGCTGCATTGAAACATCACTGTCACTGTAAACAACAGGCTAATAAAAATATAACAAACCAGCAATCTTCTTGCTGTGAGGTGGTCAAACTACCCACTGTGCCACCGTGACACCCAATTATTTTTATCATCATTATTATTATTAATATTATTATTATTAAATAAAAATTAACAGGAGGAGGTGTTTAAAACCTTCGTTCTCCGTGACACTAGGCTGAATATCTTTGCAGATGAACAATGCAATAGCATTCGTTATTGGCGTAGAGCGAGCAGAACTGTTGCGCATGGAAAAAAAACTTGCAATGCTTTTCTCACCACTTTTGGAGCTGGTTGAAGCAGTGCGAAAGCCGGGGATGCAGAAACACTAGAAGATGCTTTCACAACAACACCGTGGCGCCGCTTTAAGTGAGATATCAGATTAGTCGTACTGCCCGCGTATTTTACAGATGCGCGGCACATTTTGCAAATTGCATCTGTCCTGTCATGTCGTCCATCCTTAAATCCATAATGTTGCTTGCCATACTTTAGATTTAAAACTCAGTGGGGAATAAAATGTTTGTTTTGCTTCTCGCGCTTTCTGAGGGCGCTCCACTAGCTTCATCCGCACACCTGATACACTGAGTTGTAGTGTGTGCACATCCGCAAATCCGTTGCTAAGGCTTACTTTATGTAGGTCGATTAAATTATGCGCCAAAAACAGGTTGACAACACGTGTTAATAAATAAAAAATACATTCTATATTAAAAATATAAGCTGTATCTCGGAAAAATCGATGCATCTCGCAAAAACCGATGCATCTCGATTTGCTTCCAAAATTTCATTCATCCTCTGCTGCTCTACCGATGCACTCGCATCGTGCACGCGCATGACCGCGTATCGATACATATCGGTTAATCTTCCCATCCCTATTATAAACACATAACTATATTGTTCAATTATAACGATTTAAATATTTTTTGTCAAATAATTTTGTGGCTCAAAAGAATCAGTTAAGCCAAGGGTTTTCAAACTGTGGGGCGCCAGCACCTAATAAGGGGGCCTGAGATATTGAGGCGTGCACTCGAGTAAATTATGAAGACGATTTTTATGCGTTCATTGTAGGAAATATGTTTAACGTTAGCTCCATAGCTAACTATCAGGGACCCCTAGAGTTAATGCGTTCCAGTAAAATATACACAATTAAAATGGAGCAAGTGCATTTTAAAACTAATCACGGGGAATAAATAAAAGTCAAACCGCTGAGCCGTCTGAAAAAAAGTGCCCCTTCTGAATCAAATCAGCAGGATGCCCATCAGGATCTTTCACTTACTTTGAAGACATACTATGTTTACATGGACATCAGTTATTTGCCTTAATAAGACAATAATATAATTAAGGTGTTATGTGAAGTGCTTTTCAAATGTTGCGTCACCAGGCTATTCACGTTTCCTGCAGAGGCTCATGCAATTTTGGGTGTTTTATCCTTAATTTTTCATGTGTCCTAAAAGTTTGAAAACCCCTGGGTTAAAGCACTGTTTTGGCACAGTTACCTTTTTAAATGTATTGATTTAGCACCGGTATCGAAATAACCACAAACGATACCCAACCCTACGCATATGCAGACATTAGTTTGTAAATGTTAAATGGATAGTTCACCCAAAACCAAAAATTCTTTAATTATTTACACACAAACCTGTTTAAGCTTCTTTTAATCTGTTCATCAAAACAAGATGTGTTGAAAAATTATTGAAACCGGCAACCTTTGACTTCCATAGTTTTTGTTTTTCCTATTATGGAAGTCAATAGTCGCTGGTTTGAACATACTTCAAAATATCTTCTTTTGTGAAAAAAAATAAAGATTTGGAAACACTTGAAGGAAGTAAATAGTGAGTAAAATGTAATTTTGGGTGAAATATCTCTTTCAATTTCAACATTTATTAATTCTTTTTTTTCTGCTTCAGATCTGATAACAGTAGTTAAGCAAATTGTGACACTCACCCACAACAAGGAAAACCCACCACAGCCAGTACTGGCCATCAAAATATCCAGGGAAGTAGGTGGAAAACTGATAAAAAAATTTAAAAAAGAGAGAGAGAGAGAGAGAGAGAGAGAGAGAAATGAGTAGTTTTCTACATTACAATGTAATAAAATAGTACTAAAACTAAATGCACAATTTAGCTACTTCAATCTTTAAGATTTTAGAAAGGAATAACTGTAGATAGGCTGTTGAATTATTAGTGGATATAAAAAAATAAATACAAATACTAAGTTGGTTTAGCGGCCACAAAGCAAAATTGAATAATTCTCTAATAACTCAATGGACTGGAGACAGTGCATTCACACATACTCTGAGGTGGCAAGTTTAAGGGAAATTGTTGTTTTTATTTTAATTAATATACATTTTAAACTATTTTATTACTTGATTAATTCTGTAATTATTTTTATTATTAAAATTAAATAAAACTCAAAAATTGTATATATGTTTGTATATGTTTTAAATTATAGTTCTTTAAAAAATCGTAGGAAAAACATATGGGTAGATCAGCCAAGACAATTGGGATCAGTGCATCTATCGAGAGCAAAATCTACTTTCCAAAGAACCAATTTAAATGAGAAACATAAATTCTCTGATTATGTAATCCATATGAAACACATGCCATTCCACTAGTCTGTCTCTATGGCTTTATCTTTGAAATGGAAAACAGCACTAGTTCATCAATAAGTTATTCAAATGTTATTTTTTCTCTAATTTTTCCATTTTGAATATGGCCATTGAAAGGTTTCTTGTGTAGTGAATAGAACTAAAACACGTTTATACGTTTATACGTTTGTAAACCTTTTTAGGTAGCCTATTTTATATTCTATATTAAATTAAATGTAACAATTTTTTTTCGGTTACTCTCAATATTGCAACTTTAAATTGGTGTGATTTATAATCAGCAGAGAGACATTTTCCAAAAAATATGGTTGTAACATCATGTCATACCCTCACAATCAGGACCCATTTGACCAGGGAAAGTCCAAACCCAGAGATGGCCCCATAACGTCCGGCAGCAGACGTGGTCAGACAGAAGGACAGGAAGAAGCCAATCCAGTTAAAGAGGAACGCCACTGATGGAAAACAAAAACAAATGAAGAGGTATGAACACATATCTGCTGCACTTCTGTGTCCATATGTGTAGTTACTCATATCATTTACTCATCCATAAGGTATAATACATCATTCACTGTGCACCAGTGTGGTGGCTGTGAGTACTGTGCCCTCTTACTGAAAAACGTCAGCATGAAAATCCCATCATTTCCAACCCGCAGCTGATCCGTGTCTTCAAAGCTGTCCCTGGCAATGAATACCTCATCCTGTAGTAGAGGAACACATAAAGATGCATCAAATGAAGGGATTTTCCAATATTCAGAATAAGTATCAGCTTTGATGTTGTTCTTTTCACCCAATCAGGTGTCGATCAGACAGGGCAGATCAAAAATCGGTATTTGACGATATGATACAAATTATAATACTTGGTGATTAAATGAAGGTTGCTGAAAACAAAGCAAAATATGCAAGATCTGTGTGCAAACATTTGGATTTGGTCCGCAAAACATATGTTTGTATTTGTATAGCACATTGCTCACATGTCATTAAAGGTGCAGTATATACGTTTGACACCCAGTGGTTTAAAGGGTCACGAAACACCAAAACACATTTTTGAGCTGTTGACAGTCGTATATGTGTCCCACACTGCTATAAACACTATTAGGACACCAATATTTCACTAAAAAGTGTAAATTGGTTGTTTTTGCGTTATTTCAAGCAAATTCGAACTTCCGGTTTGAAACGAATTTTTGTAGCTGCGTCACGGTCATGACATAATAGCGTGTATTCCAGCGTGCAGACTGGGCGTCTGTGCCAGAGTGAGTCTTATTACGTCTTACAGTGTGATGCATTAATGCATGAGTAAGACTTGGTTCAAACCAATCAGCGCGCTCTATTGTGCAACTTCATTAATATTCATTAGTGTCAGTGTTTTCACGACAGAGACACCACGTTGTGTTGGCAAAACAAGCGTGAAGTGTTGCTTTTATAGTTTGCTGCAGTTAAGTTTTTTTTTCATTTTCTCTCTGTGAGAGCGCAGCTGGCGTCACGTGTGGATTAACAGTGTACGCGACGCTCGACAACAATAACTTACGTGTCTAAGGAGGATTATTGTTTACCTGAGAGCTGTTCTCATCTCCAAACGCTGAGATCTGAATTCGCTTGTAGTCTTCTCTTCATAAAGACGCGGCTCTAGTTACTGGTGATTGTCCTGTCTCTACAAATTTGATAAGTGAGCGACCAGTGCTCTTTGTTTATTCAGTTTGCTCGTATCGAACGAAGTTAACTATTGCACCGAGTCACCGAGTGTAAACACGTTAGCATCACAACCAAACTTTAACCTCGTGTAGGGTTTTTACCGCATTTAGTGACCAGAATAACACAGGCGGCTTTCTGACGCTACCTGCCGTGTGCATCTAAGTTTCCAGGAAATGCGGAGGTTTTTTTTCCCTCATTCGCCGTGCGGTATCAAACATTGCATGAAAAATACACGCTTAGAGCAGTTCCTCGAATCAAATATCTCGTTTGTCGCGAGGGGCATGAATGAATTCCCTGAATGAAAGAGCCAAACTGCAGTTAAAGTCCAACATTTAATAATTTGGGAAATAATTCGACTACAGATGTCCATGTAGGTTAAACACCATCACTTTCTCCTGTCTGTGTATTTTGACTCTGAAACTCGCGCGTGCCCAAATAGACACTCCCACACCATCCCACTTTAGTTCCTCCGACACTCCCCCCTAAACAGAGCTGGACACGCCCACTTTTCTGACTTTTTCCAAAGTAGAGGTGTGAAAACACCCTGCTGAAACGAGGGGGTTTCATGGCCCTTTAACAAGATATTGCATTCCTAGATCAAAACAAACGCAGGTTGCCAGATTGAGGACTAACAGGAGCGAGTCTAACGATCGAGCCTATAGGCGGTTTAAACAGTGTTCTGAATAAAATCAACGACATGGAATAGTCATTATCAGACAAAACTAAAACAAAATGAGTATCAGACTGAATAGTTATGAAAAAAATGATGTTGGTGTATCTTTATTATATTTAAATACCATATACACACTCACCCTGTCAGTGACTAGAGGAACAGTGGCCTCTGCTTTGCTCCTCTCAGCCTCGTCGTAGGACGGAAGGGACGTGGCAACATTGTATGAGGGTGGTTTGGGGTAAACCTCATCCTCCTTGTACTCGAAGAAAGCTACAGCAATTGCATGAATTAAACAGCCATCATGAGTTAAACATTGTCAATAATGAAACACTGCCTAATAGCTCTGACATGGATGTAGATTCATAAACACATAGGCATTTAGACACTTGTGCTTTACCTGCGTTGCTCGCTCCAAGGCTGCTGTATGGTGGAGGTGCATCAGCTGTTTGTTGAAACCCCTCTGCGGACTCCTCCTCATTAGTCAACTGCACAACCAAAGCAAAGCAACTGATGTTTGCAAACAATATCAGATAACAATAATGGCATTTTCTAGAGCATATAGTAATCAGAAAGTGAAATTCAATACCTTTTAAGACCATTTTAAGACACTTTTTCCATATTTTAAGACCTTATAACCACTTAAAACTTAGTTATAAAAACTGGCGAGATTTTGACTAACAGTATATTTACTAAGTATTAATGTAAGAAACTAATCCAAAACTAAAAGATTTATAAACTGAATAAAAATCTATTGAATCCAGCTGATTCAGCAGGTTGGTGCCGACAGAACTGCAGAAATACTGGCGTTGCCTTGGTTACTGCAGTAAACAAAGCAGCATGATGTCCAATCTAGCAGCATTTTATTGGCTGCGTCTGAATGTGCCAACTACTCAGTAGGTACTGCATTTGAATTTAAAACGTACTACTTGGCTCGCAAACTGATTTTAGCATATAGTATGGAAATATGCGGTTTCAGATGCAGACATTGATTTCAGAAACTACACAGCATCCTGAAATTCGCAAATTTAATTCAGGCAAACTTTAGCATACAACCACATGTTGCATAATCAACAAGATATCAATTTTAATACCTTGCAAAATAGCTTTAAGACTTTTTTAATACTTTTTAAGGGCCTTAAATTTCTCTACATCGATTTATCAACTTTTAATACTTTTAAGACCCTCAGGACAATTCGTTTTTGATACAATTAATTTTTGATCATGTATCCAAATTAACAAAAGCATGACATTTTTTCATTATTTTTAACTATTTAATAATAATAATAAAAATATGAGTGAAATAATGATCCATCGTTATGGAGAGTGATAAGTGTATGTAAAAACCAAACAAAATACTTTATCAATACTCAGTAAACAAATAAGTGGTCATAATTAAAATTATTAAAAGCTGTGCAGGGTTCAACGCTAAGGTTTTTTATTACTGATCCAATCGGGCCTATGATTCAGATTTTTACTTGCCCTGGCAAAATTTTCACACACACACAGAAAAAACTGAAGTTAACAGCTATTTTTAGCCACATATTTTAATAATGTGTCAAAATTGTGTTAGTGAATCTAGAATTTATATATTTTAAAAATGTTAATAAATGTATAATAAGCAAAATTCAAAGTGTCATGCCAACACAAAGAGCAGTATGGAAAATGTGCAGGTATTTTATTGCAGTTCAAAATTATTTAACAAAAGGTGGCTGATTTGCCCAACTGATGGCGAATTGTGCAAAATAAGTTCATTTTTTTCGTCGTATTGTTCCCACGTGAATGTCTGCTTCCAAGACGTTAGAAACAGACATTTTCTTTTACCCTTTTAATTTGATGTTGTCGTCACTTCACTGTACTGATTGTTACCAGGGTAAAGGAAATAATAGCATGCTCAAAACATTAAATCAGATAAGAGGAACCGCAAAGCAATGTGGTGTTTACAACATCACAGAGAAGGTAGCATTTAAAGACTTAAAAGCACAAACTTAAAATGCATGCAACTGACAAATAATCGCAGTCAAATGAAACTTTAGTGAAAAGGCAGCACTGTCCTGATCGGGCCAGTAATGATCCCGTCTACAGTCCCAAGCGTCTCTCACACTGGCCTCAGGCCATCAGGCAGTCCTTATTGTTGAGCCCTGCTTTCACAAATCTGTAAAATCTTGTAGTTTTAATATTGCTAAATATTTAAAAGATTTAAGATATAATAGGAAAATGTAATATTTTAAGACTGCACATTGTTAAACAATGTTTATATATATATATATATATATATATATATATATATATCAAATGATCATCTAATGATGTATGATCCAGGTATGCTTTATAAATTATTAATTTTTGTTTAACTACATTGCGTGGGTGTGTTATGCTCATATGTAACGTTATTGGGCTATTATCTCTTACATTTTTTGGACAATTGATTTAATGTATACTCTTCAATTTGTCTCATTATAATATAACAACATTTTGTTAACAAAATAAACACGTTAACCTCTGTCCTCCAGTAACGTGAAGAGTTAAATCATTAACTTTAAGTTCTAAGATTAAAAGTAGCTGCTCGCTGCAACATTTAATCATAATGACAACATAAAATATTGAGTAACCATGGTAAAACAGAGCTAACAGTGGGTTTTACTCTACGCTAAATAATATATGCGAGTAAACACACTCGTCGTTTTTCCGGTTTGCCATTAACGTAGTGGAAAATGAAGGCCGCAGAAGGAGCGGCTAACGTTAACCAGCTAATTACCGTCATAGCGATTAACGTTACAGTGTCTTTTCAGAAATATTATACAATGTAGATCATCAAAAATTATAAAAACTTCATCCACCAAACATACACCATAAAGCTTTGAACCTTACGGGAAAAAACAACTCACTCTAAAACCAAACGAGCTGGATAATGTTTGTTAATGTTACCTGCTGATATCCACTCCTCTGATCAGACATTCTTCTGTGGCGATCTATCCACCTAATCAGTCATACAGTAGCGATGACTACTAGTTTAACCTAACTTTTCCTTAATGTAACTAATGTTCGATTCCACAATTAAACAGTTCTGTACGAAGAGCGAATGACAGCACTAGGCTAATCTGTAGCCCAAACAATGGCGACTGCTCATGCTCAGTCAGCTTCAGTGTCAGCCGCTGCGGCTCTGTCTCAACAGCCAATACGTCCGCACTAACTAGACAGCACTGCGGACATTATTTGTTCGCTGCCAGCAGGCTCAGTTCAAGTGTTTATATAATCAGCTTACGACATTTTGAACACATTCCATGGGTGTATTTCTGTCAGTGCAAAGATTATTGTTATGTAAGCAATATAAAGGGTTTACATTGGTCACTTTGGCAGCTGTTGAATTAAAAGTACAATAGCTAGACAGAAAGGGTCCTCAGTATTTTGAAGAAACTAAATACAACTCAGATTTACTGCCAATTTCTAATTAACTGACCCACTAGTTTAGAGTATTCAGCAATAAGTTTAGTCGTGAAAACTATTTCTTCAAGTGTTTTGTTGTGTGCAGGAATATTTCAATCTAGTTTTCCAACCATATTGAATCACTAAGGTATTTTTGCTCACGATGATACACTGATTTTTTAATCCATAAAATAAGCCTCATACTGTAGCATTATTTACACAAATAAAAATATATATATATTTATCTTAATATTATACTGATTTATCACCATGAATTAAAACTATTTATAATATTATCAAATAAAGATTGTATTATCAAATAAAGATAAAAAATAGTATCATATAAAGTAAAATGGAACCTCTCTTTATGGGTACACAAACTTAAAAAAGTTAGTTCACTCAAAAAAAATTTTATTCACCCTCATGTCATTCCAAACAATCTTAAACACCGCACGTGAATGAACAACTTTTTCAACAATTTCTTCTCTTTAGTGTCAGTATAGGGTGCACACTCACAAGCACTGTAAACGCACAGTAGAATATTTAGTAGTGAGGAAATCTCATGCATTTAATGTAATGTAATGTGTATTTATATACTGCATTTATCGTGTATGGCCATACACCCAAAGCGCTTCACATCAACACCAGAGTAAAGCATCCACTTGGATGATGCAACGGCAGCCACGGGACAATGGAGTCAGTCATGATTGCGAGGCCATGATGGGTGCTACCCCTTCTCTTTACCAGAAGTGCCAAAGGATTTTTATTGACCAGGGTCAGGACCTCGGTTTAACGTCTCATCCGAAAGATGGCACTCACTAGTTTTTTCCATCCAAATATGCGAATGAACTATGAACAAAACTGAATTATTGCATGAAAGACGTGTGGATAAAGCTGCATTTCCATCCAACGAGTCAAAGCGAACAAAACCGTCACTTCCTGATTAACTGGCGCCAAATATCAACAGTAAAAACTAAACTCGCTGCAGTAGGAGAAGCTGTGTTAATCTTTTCTTTATCTAAAAAATTACTTGCGCCTCAGAAGGTAATCCTTACACGCAGTGAATGTGCGGTGGCTTTTGAAGGTGTCAGACGCAGAGCACAGATGCTCTTGATTCTGTAGGTCATTAATGATATAATAACACTAATATTTAAATGGTAAGGCATTTTAGAATGACCAAAACAACAGTTTAGGTGGTTTACAGTGTGCTCAGCCTCAGCCTGTTGGTTAGTCCATAGACATTTTCATCATCACATGATCTCTTATTACAAAATCACATGACCTTTTTTAATGCGAATACTGAAATGTGTGCGGTGTTTCCATCGAAGTTTATTTGCATCTTTTCTTATTGAATAAAACATTTATCCTACTCAGTTATGTGCATACATTTTTTATGCGCATTTTAAAAATGTATGCACATCATGGCGTTTCCATCAACCGTTTTTTATGTGCATATCTAAAATGCGCATAAAATAGATGGATGGAAATATAGCTATTGACAGTATAGTGGCCCCTTCACTTTTCTGGGGTATTAGGACTCACACGGACTTCAGGTTGAGCACCCCCTGCTGGCCTCACCAGCACCATTTCCATCTTCCAAAAGCCCTTTTAGAACAAAAGCACTTTTATGTCCTTTGATCAAATATCCAAAAATATATATAATTTTGTTCAAATTCCTCTTTCTTTGTCAAACTAACAATAAAACCTACTTTAAGAAATTGACTAGCTTTCTATTATATTTTTTACATAATATTCAACCTCCTTTTAGGTGTCAAAATCACTGTTTTCACCTTGTCGCACATCCAGAGTTTTAAACTTCAACAATGAAAATAAAATTTTAAAGGATTATTTGTCTGGTAACTATTAATGTATCTTAATTGAGCACTAGTGAAATAAGTTGCAAAATATAGCTGCCACACAGTATCAGTATCATCTCCATCACAACACGGTTATGTTGCTTTAATAAGTTCGTGTGAAAGATTATTTAGCTGGTTTCTATGATGAATGGTGCCATCTGAGCACATGTTCAAGATGGAGGGAATTTAAATTTTTATCAACAACACTTGAAGAAAAATTAAGGTAAATATTGCTTGATAAGGAAATACATTTATTCTACATCATTTCCAAACATGTTGCACCTTCAAAGATGTTTTTAAAAACCAAACAAAATGAAGGTAAGAGTGTTTAGTATACATGGAAGGCTAGTATCAATTTTAAGCTAATCGGTGAAGCTATATTTAATTTTTTCCACAATAAATTGTTGAAATGTCATTTCCACCACTATCAATTTCATCACCACACACATTTTTAAAAAATATTTATAAAGTTCTCATCACACATTAAAAGTGTAATCACAATGTATAAGTTCACACTCTTTTTAATATACAAATTCAGTTTAAAACTAATATTCAATTTTAGAGTGTGACAGGTTTACAATTTAGCACATAACTAATTTATTTCATTGACAAATGTATAATTATTATATATATTGTGGAAAGATTGGGTAAACCAAATACAAAAATGATCTTAGACAATGTTTGACTACCATAATTATTTCATTTTGAAAAAAGCTGTATATTGAGATGTGTTGGAATTGACATTTGTTCAGTTTACGATGGAAAAAATGTTTCTCTTCTTATCTAAGTTTGTCCTCTTACAGATATTAAAACTAGACAAACTGTTTAAACATGTTACGTTAGTTTTGAACAAGTTTTTTTACTCAACTTTACAAGGTTAAAAGTGCCAGTAGTTGAAGAATGGCCCATGTACTTATTGGACTTACGGTGCAATACTTGAATTCACTGAGCTCATGAGAATGATCTATTCTGTCACACGTTTATAGGAGTGGTCTGCTCTAGGTGGTTGATTCTATACACACATGGCCATGAAAGAATGTATCAAACTTTTTGGCAAGATAGTGTGTGTTCATGTAAACGTAACCCCACTGGTCCTAGACCACCCAACCCGCAAAGATACAGTAAAACATAAAATATAAATCATTGAAATATAAACAGGTAATGCAGCATTAAATGGACATACAACCACTGAATAAAAAAATAATCTGAAAATATTAAAATACAAAGTAACATCAAATAACATGGACTAAACATCAGTGTCTAAATCAAGTATTTACTTCTTATTTTAATAAAAATCAAGTCTGTGATTTATTTACTGACATCTGAAGAATAAGGATTATCAGTTCATTATGATAAAAACACATTTTATTAAAATTGTTCGAGTACCAAAATGGTCAACAGACAGAAACATTGATCTAACAAACAAGGGAAACATTTTAAACATTCGCACAAACACATATTTGCTCTTTCCATTCTTCTCTTCAGTGTTAGTTTATGGCTCTTCCACCATCTTGTTGTGCACATGGATAATGCCTGAAAAGATATTACACGTGATTTTCTTACAGCCACAAAATCCATTCAAATCCTCCCAAGTGAAGCCTGAGGTCATCTTTGTTACCTTTGAAATACTTGACAGTTTTGACCCTCAGCTCTTGAGTGGCGTCTTCATCGCACACAAACACAGTCTGAGGATGCTGCTGGAAGGCCGACACTGTCCACATGTGATTCACTCCCTCCTCTATGGCTTTATAGAGCGCAAATGCTTTATGAGAGCCAGTGATAAGGATCATGACCTGAAAATGAACAATGATCATCATGTTACTGCTGTATAGTTTCAGATCAGCCCACAAGAGAGCGCATTATTACTCATCCATTTTTTTAGCAGCATTCTACGAGATTAACAAAATGGTAAACAACGTAACATTAGCATCCTGCACAGTTTTTGGCCAAATTCGTGCATTGAAAAAGACTATTTTAAGTAAACCCTATTGACCTTATTCTTCAATGAGGAAGTGCGCTCGTTTTAGCGATTGTTTTAGAACTTCCGATTTAGTCGCCTATAGGAGAAATAACGAGGAACAATAAACGGCAGAAAGCAGTCACATTACCTGCTTTACAAACAAGTGTTTGCATGACTATACAGACAAAATAGAATAATAAAATAAGAAAATATCAGTTTACGACATCAAGAAGCAAAAAGAGCTGTTTTTAACGTCTATGAATAAATGGAAGTGAATGAGACCAGAAATCCCGAGCCAAAAAGATACAAACAGCTGCACCTGCTTGTACACAGAGAATAAGGTGGATAAAACAGGCATTGTGTTATGTTTATGTTTAGAAGTTTGTCCACTTATTATAAGCAATAGTTATAAAGCGTTTTTTGCTTCATTTATTAAAGCAAAAAGTAAGTATTTTCTTCAAGTATCCATTTCATAAAGTAAGCAAGTGCATGTCGCAATATTAGGTATGTGGCTGATTTGCTTCAAAAGCTAAATTTTGGCTTTAAAGGAAAATTCCACTTTTGTTTGGAAACAGGCTCTTTTATAGCACTTTCAGCTTAGCTTAGCATAAAGCATTGAATCCGATTAGACCATTAGCATTTCACTCACTTAATAAAACAAAAGAGTTTTTAGAATTTTCCTATTTAAATTCTCATTCTGGCAAAATAATCAAGGACAATAACTAACTTTAACAAAACTCTTTTTAAATTTTTTTCAGTGAGATGCTAATGGTCTAATCTGATTCAGTTATTTAAACTAAGATAAATTAATCTAAGGGTGCTTTCACACCTTGACAGTTGTTGCGAAACCGGTCTCATTTGCCCAGTTAGCAGGATTCATTACGCATATGTGAATCCAGCAATTGTGCTCGGATCCGTGTCAAAACAATCGGTCCGAGATTGCTTGCATGAGGTGGTCTTGGCTCAATTGAAACGCTGCACTGACACCTCGAAAGAAAGATCAGGATTGATCTGCTTCATGATCTGACTGCAGTCTCGGCTCATCTGTTATTTCTCTCTATAATTTAAGCCTAAAATGCAGAATTCTAGCCAATGTTTTTAAATAGATTGATTAATTCAATAGATAGATTTTTACAGAACTTGACAACTGAAATGAGGCCATGTATGAGAATATTTGACCTCTCTGATTTATATTTAGTGACGATGTCTGAGGGTGTCAAAACTAAAGTTTTCCTTTTCACTTATAATGTCTTTTTGCTTATCATCATAAACTAAAATAACGACGTGACAGCTAAGCAGAATCTGTGGCACTCTGAAAATAATCTCTAAAACTCTGGCCAATGTGAGGAGAGTTTACGCACTCGTGAATTGTTTTAGCTATTTTGGTCCATTTAGAAACATTGCATTGTGAAAGCGAGACCAATGACAAAACTAAACAATTTTATCAATTTTAATCCCTATTTCGGAACAAAAATATTGATCTACAGGTGTGAAAAAACTGTCAAAGTGCTCCCACCAGAGATTACTTGAATGAATTCAAAAATGCTAAAACTGTTGAACTCTAGGTGACTTGTAAGATGAGTTTATTTACAAAAGAAGTGTTGCTTTAAGTTTATTTTGGTCTTTCACTTATATTGTTTTTTTTACTAGCAATATCTGGCAACACTTATGATTCAAGATAAGGGTTCCCACCCTTTTTAAAACTGTAGATTTAATGACTTTCAAGGACCTTTGAAAGCACCATTAATTTTAAATTAGGCACCTTTGTTATTCATACCTCAGCATATGTAGCGCTATGAAAGTCCTGACTGTACTATTACTTTTGGTACTATTAGTTTATTGTTACACTTCAAATTTACATTAAGATGTAAAACATTTTTGACCGTTTTAAAAAGTCATCTTCAAAGAATTTTAATCAAATTTGATGTATTCAATACTGGTGATATTCATTCATTCATTCCTGATCTCACACTGCTCTACTTTTAAGACAGTCTGGTAGGGGTTAATATATTTAATTCATTTATTTATTTATGATCTTATATATCTTATTATATATATTTTTTCTGACCTGTCTTTCCCTGAAATGTATGATGTTTGTGTATGGTCAGAGGGGTACAATTTTGTTGCATGTAACAGTGTTGTGACAAATAAAGGCTCATCATCATCATCATCATCATCAAGATTTAAATTTTAGATGTTTAATTTGTCCGTTTTTACAATTGAGTAAAATTGTTGAAATAAAACCATGAACAAATTTAGTTTTAAATTTAATTCAAGCACTTTCAAGGACCTATGTTTGTTTTTAAGTACTTTCCAGACCTTGAATCCATATGTCTGAAATGCAAGTACTTTTAAGAAGCGTGGGAACCCTGCAAGATGTACCAATGTTTTTTTGCAGTTCATAGAGATGAGAGCAACAACTCGCAGAGCTTTGGTAAATGCAGTTGTCAATACTCCAGCATGTTCCAGAAGATAATTAATTGGAAAGGTCATGTAACAACCTAATTTAGCTGTGTGTGGCCAAACATATAGAAATATTCATACTTATACCTCTCTAGCATCCATCACAGTGCCAACGCCAACTGTGAGGGCCATGGTGGGCACCTTAGAGAGATCTCCATCAAAGAAACGTGCATTAGCCAGAATTGTGTCCATAGCCAGGGTCTTAACACGCGTTCGAGACACAAGACTGGAACCAGGCTCATTGAATGCAATGTGACCATCAGGTCCAATCCCTGCAATGTGAGCACAAGACAAAGTTCATTCACATACCATGCAAAGGACAAAGTTCAATCTTATGTCTTACCGCCAACAAAGAGCTCAATTCCTCCTGCGGCTTTGATTTTGGCTTCAAAGTCCTGACATTCCTTCTCTAGATTGGGTGCGTTGCCATCCAGGATGTGAGCATTTTCTGCTCGAATGTCGATGTGCTTGAAGAAGTTATTCCACATGAATGAATGATAACTTTCAGGATGGTCTCTGGGAAGTCCTGTAAAAGACAATGAACACTTACACTTTGGTTCAGTGTTACAACTAAATATATGACAGGCAGTTCAACCCTTGATCCCCAAGCATAAATGTCTGCTCACATACCTACATACTCATCCATATTAAACGTTTTCACATACTGAAAAGATATTTCTCCCTTCTTGTGATACTCGATCAGTTTCTTGTAGCATCCAAGTGGAGTGCTTCCTGTAATACAAACACAATTCAAATACAGTATACCTTAACACAGTTCAATGCGTTTGCACAGTACACAGCATGAGTTTGTTTTGACTCTACCTGTTGGAAGACCCAGAGTGAAGAACCGCTCAGGACCTGGATTAAACTTCCTTATTCTGTTCCTGATGTACTTGGCAGCCCATTCGCTGACTTGGTCGTAGTCATTGAGGATTATGAGCTTCATGGCTTCATCTGAGTCTAAGAGAAACGATTAGGTAAATTGACCTGGAAACCCAGTGTTTGTTACAGTCCTGCCTTCTTTAGACTTTAGACCCTATTATCGTTAAATTAAGACGGAAGTGCAGCCGTAGGTATACTTCACTGACACTATAGAGTCAACCGTGGAGCCTGTTTTGCGCGACGCGACACATTATTAAAGGCTGTTTTGTCGCGTCGCTAAGTAGTGTTTATACTTCACCTTCTTTTAGACACAGCAACGTGTATTTAGTCTCACTAGTGAACAATAAAGACTATGAATTAGTTAACCAACGATGACTCTGGAATTTATATTAGATATTAAAAGACGCTAGTTGGAGGTTGTCATATTGAGTTAGCAAAACACTTACCAGTTGTTTGTAAGTAGCAGAACTCCTCCAGCGCCGCAGAGGAACACGATCATGTGACTGTGAGGAAATGTTGCAGAGTTTGCACATCACACCTCAGGATTTGAGTGGCTCTCAGTGGAAAACACAATTCGTCACAAAAATGCATTTTTTTTTTTTTTTTTTTGGAGGAGGAGGATTTGGAAATATAATCGCCCAATTTATAATTTTATTTATTATTCATTAGCTAATAAAGTCGATCAATTAATCAACAAACAAAGCTATTTGGTTTGGGTTAAAAGTGATATAAGCAATTATATATTAATAATAAATAAACAGTTAAAGTCAGAATTATTAGCCCATTTTTTCTCTTTTAAATATTTCCCAAATATTTGTGTAATACAGAGTAGGGAAATTTTCACAGAATTTTTGATATTATTTTTCTTTGTCTTGTTTGCTTTATTTAGGCGAGAATAAAAGCAGTTTTTAAGGTCAAAATTATTAGCCCCTTTAAGCTATATATTTGTTTTGATTGTCTAGAGAACAAACTGCTATGTGCTTATACGAGTTGCCTTATTACCCTAAACTGCCAGGTTTACCCAGTTAACCTTGTTAAGCCATTAAATGTCACTTTAAGCTGAATTCAACTATCTTAAAACATCTAATAAAAAATAATGTATTGTCATCATGCCAAAGATAAAAATAAATCAGTTATCAAATAAAATGCCCTGTTAAAAGTTGATATTTTAATTTAAGTAAATTATGTGTGTACTTTTTCTAATATTAATGATAGCTGCAACAATAAATTTAAAAACTGACAAAACCAGAGGATTAAAAGACGTCTGTTCACTGCAAAAAGTAAACTGGACCTGAGATGTGTGGATGTAAATATAGGATAATGAATGTAAAATAAATAATATTGATGCAATTAGCAGCCATAGCATTGCAAATTTTTAATAAATAAGATAATTTGCATATTAAAAAAACTTTGTAATTCCCTTGTAACTTTTCCCTTTTTTCCTATAATTTCAATATTACTAGTAAATTTAATCACATGTAAATTCATCCTTAAACCAGACGGTAAAGCAACCTGAATAAAACAAATATAGACTCCTTTGCATTACACTACATAACCTCAACATAAATTTGCACACGTTTCAATCCATATTTATTGAAACAACAGCTGACAGAACCGGCATATGACAGAAACTCAATTGTAGGCAGACAGAATTGTTCTCAATCAGAAGTCTTACAGCATTATGACTTATGATTTTCTTAATATAAAACGACATGCAAATGTAGCCACTGATTCGCTCACTGTTAGAGTCTCCCTGCTGTTAGGAGGAGGATGATGATGATGATGATTTAGCATTCTAGTCACTGGAAACATAAGTTAACATTAACAAAACATTATGTTACATAACATAACGTGTAACGTTAACATAACATTACACAGCGTGATTAATCAAGGTCCATGTCAGGCTTGTTTTCTGTGTTTCCTGCACTGTCTGCAGCAGCTGGTTCTGTGCCGCCGGGCTGAGCTTCAGGGTTTTCCTGTGTGTTGACGGGCCCGTTGGGTTCTGATGGGTTCTCTTCTTTTGGCAAGTCCACTTTGGGCTTGGGTTTGGTCACGACTGGATTGCAAGTAGAAAACAGCTCCTGTGGAAAATGTTGAAATAAATTTATGTAGCAAAATGCACACTGCTATCTAATCAGCCAATAACAATGTGTGGAAACTAGGGTTGGGCGATGTCGACCAATCTGGCTTCGTACGATGTCTAATGTGACACATCCTGATGGATGAAGGCATCGTCAGCACAGGCAGAGGGGAATTAATTATGAATAATTAATTATTCAAAACAAATTAATTATTTGTAGCCTACCGTTTCAACTACCTGACCTGCATGATCTTTGTTTTACCCATAAACAAATCCTAAATAAATACAGATAAGTTAAACACAAATTACCACCTGTCAATCACTTTTTCAGAGGGACTCTGGCATGAATAGGCAGAGTGATCTGTGTCGTTATAGTGGCGTCAACAACCTTGGTCAGTAAAAAAGGTGCACAACCAACAAGTTCCAACCAACAGCATCTGATGTTTTCACTAAAATTAATAAGTACAAGTGTGAAAGCGAAAAACTGAAGCAGTGTACTGACACTGTGACACATTACCTGATAAATTTAAAAGGCAGAAGAGTCTTTAGATGGAGACAAGATTAATTATTTATTTTTATTTTATTTATAAATTTTTTAGGGGTTTTCACCTTTATTCGATAAGACAGCAGAGAGAATAAACAGGAAAGCACGGGGAGCAGAGAGAGGGAAAGGATCGGCACAGGACCGCAAGGCGGAATCGAACTCGGGTCGCCGCGAGCACCGGAGTGCATGCCTACCATTTCAACTACCTGACCTGGATTGTCTTTGTTTTACCCATAAACAAATCTTAAATAAATAAAGGTAAGTTAAACACAAGTTACCACCTTTAAAAGGGGCAGGTTCACCCAATAATGAAAATTGGCATTATTTAGGATATTATTAGCTTTAATCCACAGCCTGGGCAAACAGTTCTTGGTGTGCACATAAAAGCATGAGCTTCCTGTAACTTGATGATGTATACACGAATGTGCACTCAGATGCAAATTCATTTAACCGAATGGAGTCATCATTTCTGCATATTAAACAATCACAGGTAAGAACCAAAAAAAAAAAAGTGCATCCACACTCGTCACCTCACGTCTACACAATCATTCGCTCAGGCAGTGGATTACAGCTAATAACACTTTAAATAATGTCCAATTTCTAGCACAGATTGACTGTTTGACTACACAAGAGCTCGGTGTATAATCAGAAGCCTCTGGGATTGATTTGAACTTGTTAATTTAGACCATTGACTTGCATTTTACGAGTCACTAAAGACTCTTCTTTGAATCTTCTTTAATGTTCTACTGAAGACAAAAAATAGTCATCTTCAGTGGCCTGAGGGTAAACTATCTGTAAGTTTTAATTCCTGGAAGAACTAGTCCTTTATGTGACTTTGCATGTGACATGGTTGGTGATGCTTGATGATCCACAGAGCTTTTGATGCACAACCGTCTCTAGGGTTTACAAAGAGAGGTCAGAAAAAGAGAAAACGTGAAAATGTCTTTTGATCTTATCACAACTGAGGTCTGCCGAAGAGCACATCTCTGAACACAAAACCTTGAAGCAGATGAGCTACAGCAGCTGAAGCTATAGTTATAAAAGAAGATTCGATTCTGAGATTTGCATTGCTTGCCTCTCTTAAAGGTCCTGTGAAATGCTTTGCAATATGCATGTTTATTAGATGTTTGATGTAATCTCAACCAAAACACGAAGAGAGGGCGAGACATCCTCCTCAACCTTTTTAAAAAACAGCCAATAGTGCTTTTTATCACTGCAATGCCAATAAGAGTGGTTTACCTCAAGTGCATCAAATGAAAAGCAAATGGGAAACGTCTTGAAGGGGGCGGGGCATGTCAGATACTAGAGAGCATTTGATTGGTTATGATTTGATGAGAGACTAAAGTACGAGGTGCCGTGGATAAAACTGCTGATCCATTTAGGCGGAAGTGACAAACTACAAGCTTTACAAGTTTACATCAGTTTTATATATCCAAACGCTATTTTGACACTGTTTTGGAGCACACTAGCTAATAGAGATCTTAAACTAACAATACTGATACTAATATCTAAAAAATATGGGACCTTTAAATCACTTCCAAACATTTAACAGCAGATGGCGATCTATGCTAGTTTCCCAACTGTTCAAGAGGAAGAGTGCTTATGCGTTCAGCAGATTCATGCAAGTTGGCTTTTATGTAATGATCAATGTAAACACTACAAACACTCTTGTAATTCATTGACAAATTTGTCATATCTTTATTAAAGATTATTTAAGGTTAAAACAGAATTAGCTATAAATTCTATATATATATGCACAGTTACTAATAAGTTAAAAAGACTTAAGCATCTATTTGATTGTTAAAGCTGAGACCGACTTTAAAACATATCTTATCTAGTCAGTGAAAATTGCTGTTTTTCAAAGAAATCAGATCTTAAATGCAGTGATTTTGTAAGGGATGACAATTTACTGAAAGCCCTGGGGCTGGCTGACTGAAATTAAAAGTCTGTCTGCATATACCCCATTAGACACCATTGAATATGGTTGTTTGTGAAGCATACAGCGCCATCTGCTGTTTAAAACAATTGAGAAACAATTCATGATAGATTAGTAGTACATTTGGAAGAATTGATTTTTCAAATCGTTTTTTTCTACCACAGCTCTAAGAAATAAGTAATTCTATACTGTAAAGTGTTTTTCATGTACAAACACAGTAATTGGTAATCAAATGTTTTTGATTATTTTCATTCCTGATTATTAATCGCTTTTATTAATTCCTTTCAGGTCAACACCACAACAATTGCATTTTTACCATGGTACTGAATTATAACGCTCATGTGCTTAATGTAACAGTCACTAACCCGTGTTTTGGCCTGGATCTCTGTCGTTTTCACCACCGGCTCGATGGCAAGACTCTGTTTACTCTGCTGGTTCATTTTACTGTTCATCCAGATCATGACATCATTCACCATCTTGTCCACCTTCTGAATTTCTGCCTCCTCCAGATGATCATACTGCTCTTCCTAAAATTTAGAAAGCCACGTGAAGCCACTGTGTGCTAACCAAGAGCAACTTTGTACCTTTTGTGATGCGTTTACTTCACCTTGGTTTTGTAGGCCTCAACAATCTTCATGTATTGCTGCAACTGTCTGCCCAGCTCTTCAAAAGCTTTGGGTCTCTCCTCAAACTCTCTGTATCTGTCTTGAATGGGTTGGCCAAGGTTCTGCAAAAACATTTTTGACATCAATGGGCTTAAAATACCTTAAAGTAATAGACATTACTTTCCAATCTGGCATGGTTAAATAAGTTGACATGCTTACAGTATATATATATATATATTAGAGGTGTTAATCTACAGTGGCCTCACAGTTCAGTTCGGTTATGATTATCATGTCATCGATTTGGTTCAGTTCAATATCTCGGCGCATCATGGTGCATTGACGATGCTTTCCATACACAACTTAATATTTTACTTTACAACACAACAATTATTGTATTAAAATTTATAATTTTTAAATACATGTATATATTATTTGTAATACAATCTTGTCCTTTAATACAAGTAAACTTTAATTTATCTGCTCAAAAAAACCCTCTTTTTGAATGCATCAAACAAAACTCAATGAGTTTTTTTATTACAGTTTTATCCAGAAATGTTGACTGTTAAATGTAGTTTATTCTGATCTTTTATTATTTTTGAATTGACTCGTATAAATAATAAGATATATTGAATATTAATGTGATATATTAAATAATAATATTATGATACATTAAATATTAATGTGATATATTGAATAATATGATGTATTGGTAATCTTTTGTTTAATTATTAGTACTACTACTAATATCTATCTATAATATCTATCAATTCATTTTCGACACCCCTAGTAAATATTATATATTGTAGAATGTAAAAGGTATTTGCTACCTTCAGTTCAGCAAGTTTGTCGATGTATATTTGTTTGGGCTGATCTTCTCCATCCTCATACAGCCAAACCTCAGTGTCTTCTAGTTTTAATGAGAGAACATCTCGGTCCTGTAAGAGAAAACAGCCCCATTATTTTTTTATAGACAACTAAATTGATTAAAGATTAATTTCTGTTACTGAAATGAAAAACTAAATAAAATGTTGCTTTAAATAAACTAAATCCAAAAAGGTTTTACTAAATCCCAAATAGGTCTGCTGAAATTCCATGCATAAAAACTGTATTATGATTTAATGACTAAAATTATATGTATAATAAAAAGATGACAACAAACAGATTGCTAATAAACCTAAACTAAATTCGAATGCTATGCACTAAGATGGTCATATACTGACAGTGATATCAACAATATGTCTGAACAATAATAACATGGTGAGCTTGCAGCTGAATGTTGTTCTAAACACCTCATACATTACCCCAAAAAGTCAAATAAAAATACCAGGTCACTTCAGTGTTCCACAGACCTATTCAAATAATATCTTAAATATTTTCTTGTAAATAAACTTTTAAGAATTTCTTCCAAGACACTTTCTTCCGAGACCCGGGCCCTGGTGCTAGAAAGCATGCATTTCGATTTGAAGGCATGTAACTGCTCTCACACTCTCAGTGACGAACTTCTCGAATATGCCATGCAGTTTGTCCCTCATCTCGTACACATACTCCTCCACATAATTCTTGGCATCATTGCGCTCTTTCTCCAGCTTGTCCTGCATGATCATCTTACCCTGAGGAAAAGGAATTTCACAGTAGATTAACTCAGCGCTAAAAACATTTCCCCCGTAATCCAGTTTTGAGAAATCACACCTCACTCTCCACGAACAGATTCAGCATGTCGTTGGCCAGCTGCCACTGCGGGTTGTTTTCAATGGGCAAATCCAGGACCTTTGTCTTCACCTTGGGCTTCTTGGCTTGGGGAGGCTGATCTGATTTCTTCTCCTGTTTGCCTTCCTCTGCTGAGGTCTGAACAAATTGTAATTCGCAGGTTGTTATACATGTAAGTGTTTGGATCAAATGACTCAAACTCATTGAATTGGTGAGTCACTGAATCTTTTACCTCCATTTCCTCAGTTCCAGGTTTTTTCTCGCCATTTTCCTGTTCCGTCTCTGGAGTCTTTTGTTCCTCTTGATCAACCTGCATTTTGTTCTGTGAATGATTGAAAACATATGGTGGTGACACAAAAATAACAAAATATTAGACCTATGATTTAGAACAAAATGTAACTAACACATTAATGTTGAGGAATAAATCAATAAAAATAGTGAAGGTGTCTAAAGAGTCATGAAATAATAGATGCACTACATGTTCACAGATTTTAACATAGATATCTTTGCTGCATATTCTAATTATAATGTTAGAATCAATACATTTTTATTAAATAAATAGTGTTATAATTACTATTTAAATAACTAAATAGTGATAGTGTTTTTCATGTTTTAAGTTGTTAAAATTACAGAAGCTTTTATCACAATATTGTCGTAAGCTCAAAAAATTTATTTGGAAATAAGCTCATTTTACCATTTTTAATTCATTTAGTTTTTAAAAATTAACATCACGTAAGATTAATAATATTATAGTATAATAGATTAATAATAAGATTAGTACAATTTTAACTGATAAAAGTAAAAAAAAAAATGGAAAGAATCAGAACATATTCAATCAATATCTTGTGCATGTTGTAGGCCAGTGCAAGAAACGTGTAATATTTGAGCTTGAAAATGATTAGCCCATCAAGTCTTTAAGGATTTGGTACCATGATGGACACCAATATAACAGTATGTATATTCTTCAAATGTATTCTTTGAATAAATAAATATTTAAATTTATTTATAATAAATAACTTTAAATAATACATAACTATTAACAATCTTCTGAAGTGCACTCATGACATGTTCATTATTACAATATACACATACCGGCCACTTTATTAGGCACACCTTAGTAGTATCAGGTTGGACCCCCTTTTGCCTTCAGAACTGCCCTAATCCTCCATGGCATAGATTCAACAAGGTACTGGAAATATTCCTCAGAGATTTTGGTCCATATTGACATTATAGCATCACACACAGTTCCTGTACAATTGTCGGCCACATGCCAAATTGCTCTAGTGGATTGAGATCTAGTGACTGTGGAGGCCATTTTAAGTACAGTGAAATTGTCATGTTCAAGAAACCAGTCTGAGATGATTTGCGCTTTGTGACATAGCACGTTATCTTGCTGGAGGTAGCCATCAGAAGATGGGTACACTGTGGTCATAAAGGGATGGACAACAATGCCCATGTAGGCTGTGGCGTTGACACAATGCTCAATTGGAACTAATGGGCCCAAAGTGGGCCAAGAAAATATCTCCCACATCATTACACCACCACCAACAGCCTGAACCGTTGATACAAGGCAGGATGATCCATGCTTTCAAGATGTTGACACCAAATTCTGACCCTACTATCTGAATGTCGCAGCAGAAATCAAGACTCATCAGACCAGGCAATGTTTTTCCAATCTTCTATTGTCCAATTTTGCTGAGCCTGTGCGAATTGTAGCCTCAGTTTCCTGTTCTTAGCTGACAGGAGTTGCACCCGGTCTGGTCTTCCCCTGCTGTAGCCCATCCGCCTCAAGGTTCGACATGTTGTAGATGAATACCTCGGTTGTAGCGAGTGGTTATTTGAGTTACTGTTGCCTTTCTATCAGCTTGAACCAGTCTGGCCATTCTCCTCTGACATCAACAAGGCATTTGTGCCCACAGAACTGCTACTCACTAGATATTTTCTCTTTTTCAGACCATTTTCTGTAAACCCTATACATGGTTGTGTGAATCCCAGTAGAGTAGCAGTTTCTGAAATACTCAGACCAGTCCTTCTGGCACTAAAAAAACATGCCATGTTCAGTCAATCAAATCACCTTTCTTCCCCATTCTGATGCTTGGTTTGAACTACAGCAATCATCTTGACCATGTCTACATGCCTAAATGCATCGAGTTGCTGCCATGTTATTGGCTGATTAGAACTTTGCGTAAAAAAACTGTTATACAGGTGTACCTAATGAAGTGGCAGGTGAGTGTATTGCATTACTAAAAATCTGTGTTAATGTCTTAAATATTTATGATGAGGCGTGTCCACATCATATGAAAACAAGCTTTGCCTAATTTTTCAAGACACCCACTTCTGCATCATTTTAGAACTGATGAAACGGCATTTCATGAGTACTTCAGCTAGTGTTTAAGAAAAAGCACTCAGTACCTCATTTTCTTTTTCTGTGCTCTGCTCGGTTTCCATGCTCTCCTCTTCCTCCTCAGATTTCTGCACCTCAACTAGTGAAGCACTGGAAACGCTAAAGATGCCATGAATGTTCACTCGCACCTTCACTTTAACCTTTGAACTCTCACCGGAGGCCTGGGGAACCACTTTCTGGACAACATACTGGCCTGCAGAGAAATTTAGTTTATTTATTTTTTACATACTGACAGTATTGAAGTAGTTATGATGTTTTCTAACTTTGTTTTATGCATTAATAATTGAATCCTGTTTTAATAAAGTATTTGAACTCATGTTTGTGTGCTTCACCTCATAAAACCTTGCTCCATAACAGCTGTGGTTTTGTGACTGATAACCAAAAAATTAAATTCAGAAAACTTGTTATCAGAAAAATGTTATAATTCTTTCTTTTAGGCTCTGTCTTGTGTGTTCTGTGTGTGTAAAACTTTTTCTGTGCAGATCATTTGTGACAACTGGGGGGTGGGGGGGGTGCGCAGCTGACAACGGCCTGTGCTGCTGTTCTCTGCTACCCAGGGCCCTGTATGTTTTATCCATTTGATTCGTTAAATTAATTTCAACTTTTTTGAAGTCTCTGACTGATCTTTGAACCTGGCGGACTAGGGGAAGATCCAACAGTATACACAAAAGAACTTTTGCAGGTCTCAAAATATCTGCCACCTTTGACCGTAGCACTGGCGAATGCCAATTCAGATACATGTGTTTTACAAGGTTTCATGAAATATATTTTTGTTTCTATAGTAACAGAATTACTTTGTTGTAGTTCTTGTTTATTTACAGCAGGTCGTTGTGTCACAGATTCATTAGCTAAACTCTCAGTAAAATGACATGAGGTCCTGCCAAAAAACAAACCAAACAAACTAGATTTTGTTCTTTAAGCTATCATATTAGAAATTCAACACACAAAAAAAAGTGTCTCTTTGGTTTTCTAGCTAAACCCTGAAGGAACTGTAACACATCCTTTCTTATGTCTTTATGATTATTAATAAAGTAGAATATTTAAGAGCCTAGATTATATGATGACCTTAGTGTAATTCCACTTCAGAGTAAAACTGGAATAATATGTGTGTGATTGCTTTTTTGTATGCCAAATAATTTGATTCCTCAGGACCTATTTAGCTAGGTCAGAGGTGATGGAGACCTCTTAAGTAGACGTGGACTCTTGAAGAATTGAAATCAACTTTTCCTATTGTTATTTGCTATGTGCTAATTATGTCATCCATTTAATGTGTTAAATCTTTTAAAGGTAATTCCTTTCTATGTAAGCTGCCAGTTTGGATGTAGATTATACTGGTTTTTAACCAGTTCGATAAAGACGTCTGAGAGTATACTCAGCCTTGGGTAAGAAACAGATTGTACTTTATGTGTGTGTGTTTTATATGATTATGGATTATTTTGATTATGGATGATCAGGTCTGGGGTCAGCTCTAAATAGCCTTCTGGCTGTCTGACGTTTGTATGCTTGAGATATTGAGATATCTTTCAAAATTGTACACATGCACACATGTGGTCCATCTGTGTTTTAACCAGGTTAAAACACCTATATGTATGACGTGGTTAATGGATGTGATGTAAGAGTATAATTGAGAGACTATAAGCTGAGCGGCCTACAAACTCATTGCGAGTGTTGAAGCTGGCTTTTGCTGATGAAACTGCAAACTAGCTTCAGTAAACTTTCTTTATTTGAATCTCTGACTCCGGCTCTTCTTCATCTGACAAGACTATTTTACACTGATGTAAAATATTTCTTTTATAAGTTTATTTCTGTCGCTTTGGGTCGATTCAATGGATTGATCCACGAGTTACATATTATTTCAACAAGGAAAAAAATGTACGCTAGGGACTTGCTGACTACCAACCCTTGCTGTCTATTGAGAGAAGGAGAGTTTTAACTTCCACTGTTTTTGTTTTTCCAACTATGAATATTAGTGGGTACAGTTTTTTAGCTTTCTTCAAAAGAAGGTCTAAAACCACTTGAGGATGAGTAAATGATGAGGGTGAAATTCTTGGGGTGAAATATCGCCTTAACAGAATTTCTTAACTAAACCATCAAAATAAAGTTTTACTGACTATGTTACACTGGTTTTTGTTCTTTTTTTGTTCAATTTATTGCAAGTTTTAAAAAAAATCCTTCACATTTTTACTTCTGAAGTGTGAGTGTGTGCATACCTATTGTGGGATCTGGATAAGGGAGCTCTTTAGGGGAGTTGTAGTATGCATCCAAGGTAAATGGCTCTCTCCGGTAAAAGGTCAACACTTTAGAGAAAGGTGCTGCATGGTTCTTTGGGAAAACCTCACAGTCACTGCAATGAAAAATTGAGAAGCACTGTAAATAACATGCATCAAGCTTGAATAACCATATATGGTGACTCCATTGACATTGATTACAACAACAAATAAACTAAATCATAAAAGTTTAAAAGTCTTCTAATAGACTGCAGTATTGAGTAGTATATCAATATCTCTGTTAGCATCCAGGTATTTTATGCACATATTGGATTATCGCGTTAAATAAATGCTTAATAGAAATGCCAAGATGTGCATTCATTTTAAAAATGAATGAGAAGGCATGTCTAAAATAAAAAAATAAGTGTGAAAAAATTTCAAAAGGGGGCTAATAATTCTGACTTCAACTGTGTGTATATATATATATATATATATATAAACATACAGTTGCAATCAGAATAGTTAGCCCCCTTTGAAATGTTTTTTCTTTTTTAAATATTTCCCAAATGATGTTTAATAGAGCAAGGAAGTTTTCAAAGTATGTCTGATAATATTTTTTCTTCTGGAGAAAGTCTTATTTGCTTTATTTTGGCTAGAATAAAAGCTGTTTTTAATATTTTAAAAAACATTTTAAGATTAAAATTATTAGCCCCTTTAAGCTATATATATATATTTTTTTTGATAGCCAACAGAACAAACCATCCTTATACAAAAACTTGCCTATTTACCCTATCCTGCCTAGTTAACCTAATGAACCTAGTTAAGCCGTTAAATGTCACTTTAAGCTGTTTAGAAGTCTCTTGAAAATACCTAGTCAAGTATTATTTACTGCAATCATGGCAAAGATAAAATAAATCAGTTATTAGAAATGAGTTAGTAAAACTATTATGTTTAGAAATGTGTAAAAAAAAAATCTCTCCATTAAACAGAAAATGGAGTAACAAATAAACAGGGGGCTAATAAATCAGGGGGGCTTACAATTCAGATTTTTCTGATTTTTTTCTGATTATTTAACAGTATCTGAATGTCACAGCTGTCGCAACTGTACCTGACTCCATCTTCAGCTGCAGAATTCCATTTAAGAGAGATGGGAAACGGAACCACTTCTGTTATCGAGAACTCACGGACTTTAAAAGCCGGAGAGAGGATTGCACACTGTAGAGAAACGAGAGCAAAAAAACACTAACAGGTCACAACAGGGTCTTGTTAAGCTAGAAACGCTTCAGTCAGCAAAGGAAATGTGATGTGAGCGTGACTGACCTGGAGAGCACATCCTCTGGCCACAGCTTCATCTGCATTCAGCGTTGTGCTCGGCTCTTTCCCAAAGAACTTGCTGATTCGCTCTTTGATGGCCGGCATTCTAGAAGCACCGCCCACTATTTCTACTGCATGGATGTCATCTTTCTTCAGATCTGCAGAGACAAATGCTGGATGAATCATTTCCACTGATTCGGTGCAACGTTTATCATCCAAGCAAGGCTCATGACTTACGAGCTTGTTCCAGGAGGCTGCGCAACGGAGGCTCCACTCGGGCTAAAATATCAGCACACATCTCTTCAAACTGAGCCCTGTCATAGAAACAAAAATAATAGTATATGAGCTTAGTGTTAACTACTGTCGGGATGGCAACTTTGGTAAAAGTCCAATAATTGTGATTGGTAGGAATTCAGGTTTAATGAAGTGCAAATGAAAGGATGAAATGTAAATGTGATATATGCAGGGTTATATGCCAATTTCTTTCCCCTGACCTTCACTGATTAAAAAGCTGAGTTAGAATGGCCTATAATGAACAGAAAAAACGAGCAGGGATGCACTCAGAGCAGGATGACACGGTATGTCTGTAACAAAATACAAAACATTCAAAGTATTTTAAATAGCCACTTAAGAGCTAAAATTTGCTGTCCAAACAACCCTAGGAGGATAACAAAAACCATACACTCAGTCCTACAGCTCTATTCATAATATACACAGAACGCTTGTGGTTGTGACATTCAAAAGCAATTTCGTTGTTTTAAATATATTGACAGCGGCTTCCTCATACATGCATATTAAAGGACTACAAAATGTCATTAAATTACACTCAAAGCACATCTTACATACATAAGAAAATGGGGAAATCTGGAATTAGGACTATTGGGCAAAATAACATTCCTGAATGATGTCCTTACATTTAGTATATTTTATCTTGCATCTTATATTTTAGTATTATGTCTATTGTTTGTTTTCTCTCTTTTTATATTGCTGCTGGTCTCTGTGAGTTACCAAACTAGTTTCGTTGTATAACTACAATGACAATAAAAGTTCTTTACTTTACTCAAGAAAGCAGATAAAGTTACTGCTTATTCCTATGCTCGATGAACACTGAAGCTGCCAACCATCAAGTTGCCGTTTGATGACAGCACGGGTCATCTATAAGATAATGCTTAATAGCGAATGCGACAACAACTATGATACCATACTCAGTCATGGCATTATCCAAGGTTTGTTGTGAAAACCCCCTCTAGTGTCGAAATTTACACACTGTGCCTTTAAGTCTGTAATGTAGCACAAATCATATCAACTACTAGTAGTTTTGCTATGTTTCATAAAACCAACAACCACATATTCCTAGTAGAGATGGGCCGGTATAAGATTCTGACGGTATAATAACCTTGGATAAAAATATCACTGTTTCACGATTTGACTGTATTGTGATTAGTGCTCTAAAATATATTCTTTTAAATGTCTGGGTAAAAAACTAAAACTTTTCTCCCCTTTGAACGCAATATATTTTATTTTGAGAAACATTTAAAATATTTTAGAGCTGTAAACATGTCAGGGTAAATAATGAAAATAAATCATTGACTTCATCAGTTTCAAAAACAAAGATTTCATTACAATTTAAAACGGCATTCTTGTATATCTTTTCTGCTGGAGATACTGTTGTCCTAAAAAACGAAAAAAAATAAAAGAAATGTAATAATTTGTACACATACTATAGGAACGGTATAGTAGAAAGTGCTGGCGGTTTTAAATCCTTGACTTTTCCAAACCGCAGTATACCTTGAAAACGGTTATCGTCCTATGACTAATTACTAGTGAGATTTTTGAATGATGGGTGCATTAATTGATTTTAAAATAATTGAAGTAAACACCCACTATCTACTATTTATAATTCTTTATTAAACATCAATGCTGAACTGAAATTAAAAACACACATTGCATAAAACACAGCTCTCTGTGCCACCCATCCTCGTCACCGCTAGCAAACCGACCAATCACAAAGCTTATGCCACGCATCATTGTGATGAGTAGTTAAAATTTTTTGGACTTGGCAGAAGTATAATATCAGAATAAAAAAGTTTAATAATATAATATCAGAATAATATGGTACAATATAGTACGTATAAATCATAATATAGTAAATATAAATCATAATATAGTAAATTAGCCTTAACATTGCGGGATCACAATACACATGGTAGGAAAAGTAATTGAAAAATTTACCTTGATCAAATTTTATTGATTATAGGTTCTGAAAGTTAAATGTTTGATTACTTTGATTAATCACCCAGCCCTTCTTAAAGGTTGTTCATTTTTTGGCTGATTAATAAATTGACATAAAAATTAAGATTTGCGAGTCTCACAAAACAACCAAATATGCCCTGAAGAAACCCTGAAGATACCAGTCTATAGATCCTTTGGAAAAGAAAAGATCCAAAGAAATCCATGAAAATCCAATCAGGTAATCCATGAAAAAAATGATGCAGGTTTGGAATGAAGTGACAACTAAATGATGAAAGGATTTTAATCATTTGCAAGTCATCACTAAATTTGAGTGACTCCTTACCTGTTAAGTCTGCTTGAGACATCAACGTCATTCATGAAACACTCGATGTTGAGCGGCAGGTCGGAGGAGTTGGCGCTCATCAGCTTCTTCAGCTTCTCACATTCCTGGAAGAGCCGGACCAGAGCTCTGGGTTTGGTCTTCGCATCTAGTTTGTACTTCACGACAAACTCCTCACAAAAATATTTGACCAGCCTCTCATCGAAATATTTTCCTCCCATTTCAGGGTCAAAGGCTGTAGCAAGAATCTGTACAAGCAGGAAAAAAAATCATTTATACTCCCACATGCTAGTCACAATCATGTTTTGAGGGAAATAAATGCCATAACATCAGTACACACCTTAAGCTTGCCTTTATTAAAGGCACACACAGAAACCTGGTAGCCTGAATGGCCAATATCCACAAACACCACATTCCTTGGCTTTTCCTCAGGAGCGGGTAGATCCTGCTTGTAGATGCCGTATGCCAGAGCCACTGCACAATAAAAAACACAGATGACATTTAAGAGCAGAACGTAAAAGTGTTGCGGAAGTAGCATGGCAATAAACTGACCTGCAGTGGTCTCGTTCATGAGTCTCAGACAGTTGAGTCCTGCAATCTGAGCTGCATCGATGACGGATCTCCTTTCAGCATCGGTGTAGAAGCAGGGGACCTTAGGGATTTTAAACAGCAATTATTTATTTATAGTATTAAATAAGGGGATAAAAAAAACAAAAGAACATGGTTGACTTGAGCCTTGTGTTCATATGGAGTTAAGATGCGCGTTCATAAGTGTAAAAGGTGTCTACAAGGTATTGAGATAATTTTAACCACTTCCAGAAGGTAGCTGAAATGCATATGATTAGATTGCTTTTGTTTGCGTTTACCAACATGCCAGCTTCATTTTCATGGCAAGAATTTGTATACTGAATCTGTCATTTTACTCGGTGGACATCTTTGAAACGTAGGTTAGTATAATCTGGAATTCTCTTTAAATAGGGAAACATCAAATCCTCCAAACTTGCTTGCCAAGCTTATGATTACATTTCATATTAGGAATCCCCAATAAAATTAAACAACAAATGTACCCTTAGTGTAATTTCTAAACCTGTGAATTACACAAAATTTGCAGAAATTCATGTCTGGTCTGAACCTCTCCGCCAGAGAATCTCCAGTCTACACTGATCAATGATTAGCTCCTGTACAAGAAGGCAGGGCTTGATTTGCTATATTGACCGTTACACTTTCCTCTATTCAAAACTATACAAGTGAAATGTCTTGTGTATTCTAGAGTCTTTGATTGTATTAAGGTTTTACGTTTTTTTTTTGTTAAAAACTCTACAACTGTATTTGTATTAACAGTTGTTGAGTGTTTGAGCAACCACAATAGAGCACTTACGGTGGTTCTCCTGATATTTTCCTTTTATTGCAGTAACATTCCATTTTGCACATTTTAACATTCATCAAAAGTCAAAAGTTTATATTCATATGAATATAAAATTAACGCTTACTCAAATAGCAAGATCTGACTATTTTAATGTCACTGTATTAAAGATAAAATACATTCAAATAATTCTCTGGTCAGTTATTTATGCTTTCTGGAGTATGTCACTTTATCATTTGAAATGTGCAATGCTTTATATCCTAAAATGTTTTACATATCCCAAGCTAAGTGTCAAAAAATGTGCAAACATTTAGATTTGTGATAAATGTAACTTAATATTGGGAATTTCTAATTTCTTAATAGCTACTTCGGTATCACTTTGCATGAAATTAGGCTTGCCGTTTATAATGAGTTTTTTTAAAGTGAAGTGTGCTATGTGCTATTTTTATAGTTAATTCTTTGCTCCTTTTCATATTCCGAATACTGTTAAATTTCAAGTATTTGTTACTAAAATGCGTGTTTTTTTAAATGTGACCTGCTACTTATTTTTTTCCCCTCACAAAAGCACATGATGTGATTACGGCTGCATTATTTTGCACTGCAGATCTTGATGGTTAATTCCGATTTTGTGACTGTATCCAATTTGCATTTTTGACGACTTGCTCACATCATCTTTTAAAAGCGATTTTAATTACAGTTTGTGACATAAAAGTTATCACTTGGCCATCTTCTTTTGTTCTAGGCTTTTTTTTTTTTACCAAAAAGCATTTAAATGTCACGTCCAAGTCCAGTTTTTAATGATGCATGACTCGCATTTACATTGCAGAGATGAAGAAACCCATCCGATTCAAAACGGATACATTTCCACATATGAAGGAGGCCTGAATCTGATTTCAGCATTGATAGCGCAATGTGCAAATTCTTAAGTCACATTGCAGGACTGCAATGGAAGTTCAGTTTTAGATTATTGACCTCTTAAGAAAATTTTTGTGGGATTTTAGTTGACCAGAAACAACAGTTTAGAACGTTGTGGAGTCATTGCAAACCTAATAGAGTGAAAGTTTTTCATTTGCTTCGATTTTAAGGCCTGTGGCTGTAAGATTTGAAGTGAACTGAAGTGAAAATAATAGTGCATAAAAAATTATAATATTTGAAGTTAGCAAAGATTAATTGTATAATTTTAATTTAAACAACGAAGACAATACAATTTCATTTACATTTGATTTCTCAATTTCTGTTCCAGAAAACCATTTTTAAAACTATTTCATTTGAGTTTTTGCTCAATTGCATTTATTCATGCAAGCAACTTGTTTATTATGTTTTATGTTTCCTACGAAATCATCCCAATCAGTCTAAAATGACGAATTCTTTCCAATTACAGATTCAAGTCATCTGGTGAAATTACAGTATGTTCATATTACAATATGCCGCTGACAAACAAAATATCGCAATGTCAGTTTTTTCTAATATCGTACAGTTCTAATCTGATCTGAGTAAACCGGAAACCTTGTTTGCTTAGTGAACATTTGTTTCCCCTGCTTACACATATATCTGATCTATGCCACATGAGAAAAAAACCTGGAACCAATACACAGTGTAAACGCAGCCCAATGGAACCTTTTCATATCTGCGGGTTTCTTAGTAGCGGCAGTCTTCATAGTTGGGTAAACTTAGAGTTCAGTGAATGGGAGAGTTTAACAAATATTTTTTACAATCATACTTGCTAAAATAATAAAATATATACTTGATGATGGTGTTATAAAGGCTTTCGAAAAGAAAAAAGAAAATTGTGTGAGACTGATAACAGCAGCCAGAGGACAGAATAATGTCACATTTACTGTCCTGTCCCAAAGAGGCTGCATTAAAAACACCCTGCATTGAAACACCCTAATTTGTTTTTTGTAATTTGATGCAAAGATAATATAATACATACATAAATACATATAAATGTTCATATTTAAAAAAATCTATATATTAAAAACTTTCAAGGACTCAACTTGCTGATGATTATTAAACGAGTCATAACAGTCTTGTGAAAAGGGTTCATAAACTTATAATATTACACATTGTTAAAAAGGGCTTCAATCTTTTTTTTTTTTTTTGACTCACAGAGATGACACAGTCAGCCACAGGCTTCTTGAGGGCGCTCTCAGCAGTCTCCTTGAGTTTGGTGAGGAGCATCGCAGTGACTTGTTCAATGCTGAACACCTTCTCCTCCTCCATGTACATCACCTACGACAACATGCAAGATCATACGACTGCTTAAAAAAAAACAGAAACTGCTCCCAAACACTCTCACATTTGCTGCACAACAGAACTGTGTGCTTGGCTTTAGAAGAAGGATTGACTGCCAATCTAGACCTCTGAACAATGCTGGCACAATGTGATCAGTCATCAGCATGTGGTGACTGCACGAAGAAACCAGAACTCAGTTTTCCTGATCAAATCTCTTATTTTCAGACACCCACCTTTAAGCCCGTCGTGCCCGATGGCATCTGTGCCAGATCATAAACGAGACTAGGCTTCAAGTTCTGGACGAATGGATCTGAGAAAGCCCGACCATGAAAACGCTTGAATCCATGGACAGTGTTTTTGCAGTTGGTGACCATCTGTGTTTCATTTGAGACGCATTAAAAGAAATGATGCATTATTACAAATATTATGAATGGATGAAGTTGGATTTAAGAGATGCAAAATAAACTGCAAACTATGGAGAACATAAATAATACCTGGCTTTTTGCTGCAGCTCCAATAGACCGATTTCGTGGTCCAAAAGACACACATGCTCTGAAATGACGAACAGTGGATCAAACATTAAGACAAATGATTGTCACAGTAGAATGAAAAATTATTATAGCATGTTTTATGATCTATTTGTGTCAAATGCCTGTTTAGTTCAACTTCTCTGCATCAAATTAGCCTTACAAATGTGATTTGATATGTGTATAAAACATATTATATGCAGGTAAAAGTGTATAACTTACTTTTTCAAATATATTGTGGTAATATTGAGAAAACATATTGTCAAAATCAGGGAGAAACTTTTATTTTATTATATATTTTAAACAATTCTAAACATCTTGCTGTCAAATGGGGACAATCTAGTGCCCAAACTAGGGCCCGCAGGCAAAAGTTATCCCATGGTAAGTTTTGATTTGGTGTGCCATCCCATTTGAGAAGAGAGAGAATGATGGGGAGGGTTTCGATTGTCAATTCAAATTTTTATGTAACAAATTTGATGTAATTTAATGCAACCTTTTGTTTGTTTGCTTGTTTTGTTATTAAAAAAACTTACTGAAATGAAATGTTTCAATTAAACAGAGTAAATTAATCAGATTGTGTAAATGTACACTTTGGTGAGCAAATCAAGTCAAAAGCAGATTCTGCTAGACTATTCAGCATTGAACTCCACAGTTTTACAAATGTGACTGTTTATGTTTTTATTGAAATAAGGTGTAATTTAAAAAGTAATACTGCATTAGTTCATACAATTTAAAGTAATGTTTTATATTGAACTATTAGGAAATAAATTAGGAATGCTCCGATAGATCAGCTGGAGACCGGTATCAACCGATAATCACATTACAACTCGATCAGTACTCGCTAATCTGGAGGATCTCATAAACCAATAGCAAGTGTTTGTTTACGGGTTTACAAGCAGAGGAAGATCTATTTGAACTTCTTATGCATCAAATATGTGCTCAAAACTTTTTCTTGATTGAGACATGTTTAATTCTTCTCCCATTGTTTGCGATGTTTCCAAATTACATTGTTAGTCATTTTTCTAACCAATTTTTTTTTGTCTTTTCTATTATTTTCCATAAAGCTGTTTCTGACCATGACTTGTTCACACTAAATGGCTATAAGAGAAGTGTTAAAGGGATCATATGCAACATCCTTTATTTATTTATTATACTTAGAGAGAAAATGTGCTTTATAAAATGGTAAAGTTACATAAAGCTTGAAGCATCAGAATCGGTACTCTGTATCGGCCGATCACAATGACGAGGAATCAGTACATGGTATCTCCTACAAAAATCCTGATCGGGGCATCCCTAATGGCAACTTAAATGTAATATAGAGTAGGCATGGAATGATTGCTGGTTTTAAGGTATCTCAAAGTCAAGGTTTAAAAAGCGTTAAAATTTCTTTTATGCCGTTCCTAAGGTATTTGTAAGTTTTAGAATATTTTATTGAGTTTTTTTAGGGCAACAGTAGTATAAGTATCCACATCCCAAGCTACTGATGAGCCCATAATTTTTTTCTCAGGACACACAGTAATGTACAAAAATACATATAAGTTAATAAAAAAGTATCACATTTATCGTTTACTAAATAATTAAAAGGAAAAATCTAAACTAAATACAATGATTTTACATTAAATAATATAATTTAATAAGTCTAAACAAGATAATGAAAGCAAATGAATAATGTAGGGTAATATTGAGAGAGTATAATGTAGCTAGGTTTGTCAACTATCAAAACGTACACTAATAAAAAAGTACCATGGCTAAGAACAGTTTCATGATAATCATAACATAACACTGTGTTTTTTTAAGTACAGTTAGCAAGTACCACGGTATTTTCATATCGCTAATCACGCATGACTATGGTGCTGTATGGTGTAGGGAGGCTCCTGAGCGAGCTGAACACACTGTCAGATCAGCGTGTCTCACAAAGAAAGCCCGCTATAAACAGCGGCTTCCCGCAGTTGCACAACTCGGCTAAAAGTTGACCTGTTCATTATCGTGTGCGTTGGTGCTATAGAGGTGCAAATGTTGAAGACTCACGGTGTGCATCGGTCGCTGTATTCATTGGCCACAGTCTCGATTCCTCCGGCTCGAGCTACCGCAACATAGCAGTTGAGAAAACCCACGTCAAAACCCACCACCGACATCTTAAAAATAGCAGGATTACTCAAGTACTATAAGCCCGAAATCAAATGAGGACTAGGTGGTCAATCTGTATAATGCGAAGAGTAAATACGACAGTTTTAATTCATTATTCTACTGTACTTCATGGAGGAATGAGGCTGCGGATGATAAACGCCGCTCAGGAGAAAACAGGAACAATTCCGGTTCAAGGCGGAGCTTAAAGGTCCAATATAAAAGTAATATTAAAAGCCCCTCGAGATTATATGAATGTCTGTTTTAGCCATATAATAAATAAATAAATACACAGACAGATAGATCAATAGAACTTTTTACAGTCACAGTTTAGACGTTTTTTTTAATTATTATTTTTGAACATTTATTGTATAACAGAAATATGAATTTGGTACATATCATTTACAACAATAATCATTAGATTATTTACAGTGGTGGTAATAAAGAATGAAAAACGAAAAACAATAGGGAAAAAAATGAAATCAAACTAAAATTAAAGAGATATGAATAGGTTATCTGGTGGTGCCGTGGGTAGTGCTGTCGCCTCACAGTAAGAAGATCGCTGGTCCAAGCCTCGGCTGGGCTAGTTGACATTTCTGTGTGGAGTTTGCATGTTCTCCCCGTGTTTGCGTGGGTTTCCTCGGGTGCTCCGGTTTACCCCAATTGTCTGTAGTGAATGAATGTGAATGAGTTTGTATGGGTGTTTCCCAGTGATGGGTTGCAGCTGGAAGGGCATCCGCCTTATAGAACATGTGCTGGATAAGTTGGCGGTTCATTCCACTGTGGCGACCCCTGATAAAGGGACTAAGCTGAAAAGAAAACGAATGAATGAATAGGTTATCTGATCTGAGATTTTACATATAATAGATAAAAGAATTGAGGGTGAAGAGGGCAAAATAATATGATAACAGCAATTTAGAGATTTATCATACATTTTAAAGGTCGTTCCAATTGTATAAGTTTTGAGAGCTTTCTTGTTAAGTGAATCTGCAATTGTAAGTAATTTTAATCTCTTGTATAAATGCTATAAATACTGGCTTGCTATTTGAAAATGTACCTTTATCGATCACTTAATCACTTTGTAGTCACAATAAAATTCTGTGAAGTAATATTTGAGATAAATAAATTAACATCTTGTCAAATCTGGAACACGTGGTTGCATGACCAGAATGAGTGAGGAAGTTTCAGTATTATTTTAACTAAATGAGCAATTTGTATCAAAATCTGGTCCAAATCTTTTCTTTAAGAAGTACTTGACATTGTAAATGTTATGTAATAATTCTAAAGATATACAAGAAAAACTTTTGCTGATTTGTTTAGGAATACCTCCTCATGTACAGAGGTGAATGAGGTGCAGAGAAGCTTGCTCAGAGAAAAGCTTTTGTATCAATCATTGTTTACTTCATTAATCAGTTTAATGGTGAAGGGTTTGATCCAATAGAAATGGCATGCTTCCTTGTAAAAATATTTTGTAGTATTTTCAAAACACTAAATACAGTATTTTATTTAGATACATTTGTGGCTGCTGTATTTTGTAGTTGATTTTGATACACTTACATTTGAGATATTTGGCATTTTATTTTAAAATACATTTCAATGTATTTTTGCGCAACCCTGGTAGTAACAAACTTCCATACATTTCACTAAAATTGACATTTTTCAGTAAAATAAACCAAGATAGCAGAGTGGCATTGATTCACTGTTGAAATTCTATCAGAATCACCATTTTGGTTGAGTTTGAATATTCAGTATTGAATCAAATTATGAATCAACACTGATAATTCGATCACTTCCCATTTTTTTGAATACTTAAATTGGACCAATGTTAATAATTTAACAATTTCTTTACACTAAAAAAATACTTACATTGAATTAATGTTGATATTTTAGTAATTTACGATTGTTGAAAACACTGACAATAAATCAACATTGATAATTTGCCCATTTCCTAACAATAAAATACTTACAGTGAATCAACAGTAATTCAATAATTTACCTTTGTTGAAATTACTCACATTAAATAAATGTTGATCATTTACTCATTTCACAGCATTTAAAATACTTGCATTAAATCTTTATTGATTTTTTTTTTGTTTTAATTCAAATGCAATTGCTTTTACGTATACATACACATTATTGTTACATAAAAATCTGTGCACGAATTAAGCTATCTATTATCTATCTTATCTAATACACAGACCTTGTTCGATAAGAGGGGGCATTACACTGTACAAATATTTTCTTTCCTCAATTAAAAAACAAAAGTATTTTCACTAAGCATATACAACTTAATTAATTTTTGTGTAAATAATTTAGTTTTACTTATTTATAAAAGTTCAACTAACATTTAAAAAAAATGCATCCAATAAGTTCAGTTTTTTTCAAAACTATACTTTTTGTCTTTACAAGAGGGGGTGTATATATATATATATATATATATATATATATATATATATATATATATATATATATATATATATATATATATATATATATATATATGATTTTTTGACCATTTTGATCTATTTATCATAACTGAATTAACATTAGCCTATTTCAGGGTGCAAAACTGGCTAAAAAAATCAATTGTCTGAATTTCAGCATTAATTCAATGATAGTTTGATTGATGTTTAAACGTTTATTCAATGTTAGTTACAGTGTAAATAGTGATGTAATTTTAGTTGAATAAATGCTGATTTTGTGACCATTTTGATTGATTTACCATCTTTGAATTAATATTATTTTAGGATGCAAAACTGGCTAAAAACCAATGATGAATTTTAACGTTGTTTCAATGACAGTTTTGTTAATGTTTTAACATTTATTCAATGTTGATTTAGGTTTGCTATCTGGAAAGTCTACACAATTCTCCGTATTGCAAAGTAGCGTCGTGTAAACTTAAACCATTGGAGGTTGAAGTTCCTGTTAATTTGATTTTAGTAATTATGGATATAAAAACCCAGCATACATGCACATCTGTAATAAATGTCTTTCTTTCCAAACGAAATTTGCAACATAAGCTGGACTTTTGTTTTGAAATCGTGCTCACTTCTATGACAGCTGTGACCCGGATGTTGCCTGTCACGCTTCTCGCAGCATCCGTCTAATAATGAGCTCTCCGTGCTGTGTTATCGCCAGCACCAAGTTAATAATACACAGATTATGCAGACATATCCAGCACAGAAGACTTCCACATGCCTACAGTATCGCTCATTTCTGCACAGACCGATCTCAGAGCCCGAAAGCTTATTACATCACTACTCCCATCTTCTACGTCAATGCGCCTCCTCACATTGGTCATGTGTATTCTGCTGTCACTGCTGACTGTCTGCACAGATACAAGCTCTTGCAGAGATACAACTCCAGGTTTGCTACAGGTATGTCCTTACACGTCATATTTCTGAAATATAGTTATACAGGGATCCCACTTTAGGCCAAACATCAAATTCCCGTCACTTTCACTTTCTAAAAACTTAATTTCCAATACATTTATTGAACATAAAACAGGTTGTGGTTGATGGTCCTCAAGGAACGTGGTTCAGAAACACTGCTGTACTGTATTTGACAGTTCAATAGTAGCTTTATAACATTAATTTTTCCATTGTCTACTTTTAACACAGTTTTTAAAGTGGTCATTTTGAAGCCAAAGCCTTAAAATGTATGTTATCCTGGAATGCGAACTTTAACAGGTACAGTCTAGTGACTTAAAGAGATAGCTCACTCAAAAAATGAAAATGTTGTCATTTACTCACCCTTTACTTGGAAAAAAGGAACTAAAAAAAGATAATAACTTAAACATTTATCAAAATGTATTTTTTTAAAATATTCAGAAATGAAACAATTCTTTTCCCTAGAGCAAGCAGTAAACACAAATAAAAAGACTTGAACTTTCTGCAAACAAGTTCAACTCAAATTCGGAAGATAGTGTAGCTTCTTATAAAAACAAACACAAAATAATAATTATAAAAATACAGAACATTCAGCAAACTGACATGGCTGAGACAACTGAAATTGTATTTTGCTGTTACTTGCTACTAGATTGAGCGTCACTGGCGATACTTTTTAGCAAGACACTCTTTACTCAATTGTGCTAACTCAATTGGCTAGTAAGACTATTACACACTGACAGCAGTCACGCATTTGCTCTGGGCAGGGGAAATTAAATGAAACAAATGTTTCATATCGCAGCCTCTTGCGATTTAGCTAATTACAACGTTTTAAATCGCGATTCAATTTTAATTAATCACACAGCCCTATTTCAATACTAGGGAAAACAGGTACAATGGAATTCAATGGTTACAGGGTTTTAGCTTTCTTTAAAATATCTTTTGTGTTCAACAGAAGAAACTTAAAGATTAGGTACCACTTGGGGGTGAGTAAACAAGTACATTTTCACTTGTATGTTAACTATTCCTTTAAATGGCTGGAAGTTAGCTGAAGGGGTGGTCCAGAGTGTATTTTTGAGGCTTGGTTGTGTTTATGGGGTGCAAAGCAATGTGTGCTCATGCTCATTTTTATATATTTTACTTTGATTATAAACAGCTACTTTGCTAACATGAAAACGGCTGTCATATATCCTAGTTCCTCCTCAAGAGGCTCTGATTGGTCAGCTAACAACATAATGTGCTGTGATTTGTGTGCGGATTGGCTCCATGTCACCAGAAAGCATCTCTGCTATAACATTACAACATCACTGTCCAGGGTGTATGCTTGTACCCTGAAGGGTTTATGACATCATTAACCTGGATGTATTTTTTATTGTTGTCCCCAAACTTTGTTTGCTGTAGGCTTTGTTAAGCTCACTCTATAAAAGTCAATGTCTCCCTTTGCATTTAACTTTGATCGTATAACACGCAGAGATGTTGTTTATGCACACACAGCTACATTAAACATCAACTAAAGTTTAAAATATGATATCATATTGGACCACCCTTTTAAAATTAGCATCAAAGAAATAAAATGGATCTTAAAAACAGCTTTAACAAAAAGCGCGAAACATCTGGAGAAAAAATACAAATATAAACAATGATAAATGTAAACTAAAATTAGGAAACAAACAAAAATGCATAATATTTCATGACTTGGACAAAAATATATACTTAAAAACTTGCTGACTTTCAATGTCTA